TTTCCATACTAAAAAGATAGCATTCAAAAGGGATATACTGCAAATTTTGACACAAGAAAAGTCGAATTAATACACAACACATACGCACACAGACACACACACAACAAACACACGCGCGTGCGCGCGCGCATACACGAGATGTGCGCGCCTCAGCTTGCTTTTACATGTTTTTTTTTCATTTTAGATATTCACTCTGTTACATTTTTAAAAAAAAAACATTGTTTACTCATAAACTGCTCAAATATTATTTTATATATTCTAACTATAAAATGTAAATCCTTTCTTGGCTGTAAGTTAAGCATATGTGATAATCATGTAAACAACTCAAGGCTGTGGATTTTGTTGCTCAATAAAAATAAAAAAAAATAAAAAAAAAATCTTCTGACGACCAAACCATTACCGCCACATAAATGAGCGGTTTACTAGCCTAGCGGAAGGAGTATCTGTATTTTTGATTTTATTCTTAGTAAAAAAATTAAAATAGCGTTTATTACTGTTACTAATTACGATTTTATTTTTATTTCTATTAAAAAAAACACATTTCAAATTTTAATCCTGTTGTAGAAAAATTCACGTTTCAGTGTAGACTTAGTGCAACTGAGCTGTTTCGCTGTTTCACGAATGGGCAGGTCCGTTCGGGTACCAGACCTTGCAGAAGACCGGCGTGTAGTGGAAGTGTTATACTTCTGCGTTTCGTCTGGTGAGTGAGGTAGCCGGTGCGCCCACTTTACTAAAAGATGCCAACGCATCTGCAACCCTACGGATGTTGCAAATGTCAATAGGCAGCGGTTATCACTTAACTTGTGTGGTGGTGTACCACAAATTCTCACATACAACACCTATGTACATGAAATAGTGGCTTTAATAGAATACAAATATATTCACTTTATCTTGAATGCGTGTGTTCGTATTACTCGGTGCATATATAATAAATATTATATTTAGCTTCGTTCAAATCAACTTAGTGTGTACCGTTTAGGAGGAAAACCTTAAAGTTTTCATCGATTGTGTTAATTAACTTAAGCTCAAAAAATTATAAGCAGCGAAAAAACATTTTCGGAAGTGAGAGATTAATTGGTTCTCAGAATCTGTTCAAAATACCTCAATGTAATAAATGCCGGTCGAAACACTATCAACAATTTCATTGAACTGTTCGTTGATAAGATAGAATTTATTTACGACTACCGAATTACTACAAGAGGGCGTGTTCTTTGTTATGAATAGAAATTTTCGGGGCTGCGCTAATACGGAGAAGCGTAGATGATTTTTAAACGATATATTCGTAAAATTGTTGACAAATGCTAGCTAATCTGAAAGCAGCCGAATGAGGAACGAAGATGTGATTTTTTTTATTTCGTTTTCCTTTAATTTTAAGGTAGGTACATGAATTTTCCGAATATTCCATGGAAGACCGGCGTGTAGTGGAAGTGTTATACTTCTGCGTTTCGTCTGGTGAGTGAGGTAGCCGGTGCGCCCACTTTACTAAAAGATGCCAACGCATCTGCAACCCTACGGATGTTGCAAATGTCAATAGGCAGCGGTTATCACTTAACTTGTGTGGTGGTGTACCACAAATTCTCACATACAACACCTATGTACATGAAATAGTGGCTTTAATAGAATACAAATATATTCACTTTATCTTGAATGCGTGTGTTCGTATTACTCGGTGCATAATATAATAAATATTATATTTAGCTTCGTTCAAATCAACTTAGTGTGTACCGTTTAGGAGGAAAACCTTAAAGTTTTCATCGATTGTGTTAATTAACTTAAGCTCAAAAAATTATAAGCAGCGAAAAAACATTTTCGGAAGTGAGAGATTAATTGGTTCTCAGAATCTGTTCAAAATACCTCAATGTAATAAATGCCGGTCGAAACACTATCAACAATTTCATTGAACTGTTCGTTGATAAGATAGAATTTATTTACGACTACCGAATTACTACAAGAGGGCGTGTTCTTTGTGATGACGAGTAATGTTCGTGGCTGCGCTAATACGGAGAAGCGTAGATGATTTTTAAACGATATATTCGTAAAATTGTTGACAAATGCTAGCTAATCTGAAAGCAGCCGAATGAGGAACGAAGATGTGATTTTTTTTATTTCGTTTTCCTTTAATTTTAAGGTAGGTACATGAAATTTTCCGAATATTCCATGGTACCATTCCATACATTATATAGTAACTAGTTGATGTTGTTCTGAATATAATAAAACCCGGTCGTATCGAGACCGGGTTTTATTCCATTTTACCGGGAGCTATCGTGATCACCGCTAATTTTCACAAAAATTTACATCATGTATGTGTAACTGTGGTAGTGCCAAACAGCGGCTATGGATTTTGCAAGAATGGGCAGACTTGTCCGAGGAATTAACAAGGCATCACAAAAGACGGGCGTAAAGTGAAAGTGTTATACTTCTGCGTTTCGTCTGATGAGTGAGGTAGCCGGAGCCAATTCTTTGAAAGTTTGTAGTGCATCTGACATCCCAAAGGAGCCGTAGATTTTCATGGCAGGCATATAATATCGGATGAGCCCACCTACTGGCTTTTTAACGTCTCACATAAAAATACTATAAAGTTTTCCTTAACACCATTGGTGGCCTAGGGAGATGGATAGATACGGCTGTCAAATGGAGAAATTTGTTTATCTGTTGTTAATTTTGTGTATCATTTCATTTTTGTTCTACAATAAAAGTATTCATTCATGTATTTTCGTCTATGTATAAGGATCTTCCTATTTTCTTTAATAATCACCACCAGTCAGCCTGTTCTAGTCCAGTGCTGAATCTAGGCGGCCTCCACCGCCTACTACGTAATACAATCTTTAGTCTTCTGAATACTTTCCCATTCAAAACTTGGACTTAAGTCACTGGCGATAAATATACTAAAATGATACTGAACAGTTTTTGTATTTTAATTTCACAAATATTATGACTCAGACTGTACTCCACGCACCAGTGGGAGATCGGTGTAGGGGTTCGCTCCGGCTGACTCAATCGGACCGATCGAGACCACAGGGTGAGGCTCGGTGACCCAGTCACGGGGACGGACCGAATTTATAATAAATAGGCGCCAGCCCGCCCCGTGCAAGACAGAATAATGCTTATTCTAAGGGATTTATTTAGTGGAAATAAAAGGTATATTACTTAACAGTTTTAGAATTTATTTATACAAGATTTGAGATATAAAGCAAAACTATATCAAGTTAAAAATATTGAAAGGAGAGAGATCTCACCAATCAGGCATTTTAATAGTTACATTAAGATTTGAGAGTACATTAAATTAACCCCTATTACAAAGCAGTATATAACCACAATCATTAGTTTAATGGCTAGTTACAGATCAGAGTAAAAACATACCAGAAAGAAACATAACCAGGCTTGCCTTCCTAGCTTCCAAATAAGGGTGAAGACAATCAGCTCAGCAATGCTCACATGCCACCGAGGGGCATTCAGCTAGTCCGCGGCTTCAAGTTGCACGTGGACAGCAGGACTTCAGATTCTTAGTATATATAATTATGCAGTTGCATATAAGGCGAACACGCGGTTCGATATCAAGAGAAAGGCAGATCAGAGTGATAAGAGATAGCATAAAAAAGAAAGAGAAACCAGTAAAAAAAAACCCTGTAACAAAATACGAGTTGTTAAGAAACGAATAATGGACCGAAAACAGTCAGATCCCAAAAATATATACAACAAAGGAAACTTACCAACGATGTGGGTTTTTTATATAAAATATAAAGGCCAAGAAGCCATATACAAGTAGGATGACTATGCTAAACAAGACAATGTTTCTAATTGAAAATTATGTAAAAACAAATTTGCTTGATATTAGTTCAACATAACTAAAAATGATATTTTATATTTAGAGGCAACAAAATCACTAGTACCGAATAATTTAAGGAAATAAACAAAGACAAAACAACAAGGCGACCTAACGCTATCTATGATAACTGAAATATAGATTCTCTAAGGATCCCATTCAACCAAATTGTATCGTTCACAACAGATGTCGCCATATTTTCCACTATGGATCGCTAATATAAGCTACTCGAAACTCAAGGGTACGAGGCGTTGAAAAAAAAGTGTTACATATATATATATATACAAGAAGACTGGCGTTTAGTGGAAATAATAGTAATAAGTAAGTAATACTAAGTAATACTTCCACTAAACGCCAGTCTTCTTGTACTCTTTATCCGGACGGACCTGCTCATTCGTGCAACAGCGAAGACACTTGCGTGGCCGTACCACAGTTAAACCAATATAACTTTCTATTGGATGGGTTCCACGTGGCTTTGTACTATACAGGGAGGCTTTTCTAAGTATAAACTTCTGCGTTTCGTTTCGTGATTTAGTTAACTGGAGCCCGATTTACTAAAGGGTGGCAACGCATCTGCATACTACGAGTGTTGCACATGTCAATGCACGGTTATCACTTTTTTTATGGGAAAAAAGCGGTAAACGAGCAGGGGGCTCACCTGATGGTAAGTGATAACCGCCGCCCATGGACACCTGCAATACCAGAGGGCTTACAAATGCGTTGCCGGCCTTTTAGGAAAGAGTACTTAAGATCAGTCGAACCGCCAGCTCGTTTGTCACCTTCTCACATGAAATAGGCAGTGAATGCTCATAACACCTCTTTATTGCTTGTGCCTTCACCGTTGGCGGCATTTACCATCGTTTTTTACTTGATTTTATTAAAAGAGTGTTCTTTTAATTTCGAACCAATTGAGCCCCATCAAGATTACATTATATACGTGCGAATGCCCATATCGTATGGAACATCAGCTTGTTATATTCGCCTTTATCGAATTATCTACAAGCAATTATCCAAGTTCTATCTATCTTATCGGTCTTGTATCGGTATCTGGTAGCGTGAATATATAATCGAATCCTTAGGTCAATCCGCGCAGTTTCACTCGTCGTTCAGTAAAGTCGATTTTTTGGTTTGGTTGCCTTCAGTGTATACGAAAATTGTTTCGCGTGATAGAGGCGTTATGATAGGTAAGTAATGGCGGGCAACATTACAATACTATTTTTTCCATTTATTGACTTAGTTTGCTTAAAATAACAAGAGATTATCACTTCCAATAAGTGGTTAAGCTCGTTATAGACATATACAAGTGAGGTTGATGCTGCAAACTATTATGAAACGAGGAGAATTTAAATTTATCCGGTGGTAGGGCCACGCAGCAGCCTCGGCTGTTGCACAAATGGGCAGGCTCGTCCGGGTACCACGACCTCACAGATGACCGGCTTAAAGTGGAAGTATAATACTTTCACGTTTCGTCTGGTGACTGAGGTGGTTGGAGACCAATTTTCAAAAGGTTGTCAACGCATCTGCAACCCTGGGGTGTAGCAGATGTCCATGGGCGGCGATACTCACTCAAATCAGGTGAACCGTGAGCTCGCTTGGCAACTTTTCACACACAAAAAAAATTTTAACGTGATATGGTTTGAATTCATTTATTTTGATTTTTTTTATGGGTGAGAAGGGGAAAAGGGAGCTGACGGTTCACCTGATGTTGGGTGATAACAGCCACCCTTTGACATTTGCAACACCCGTATGATTGCAGACGCATTGCCACCTTTTAATTAAGTTCACCACTTCTGCGTTTGGTCTGGTGAGTGAGGTCACTCACCACTACCCACACTTCCATTTCATGCCGGACTTCAGTGAGGTTGAGGTACTAATCCGGACGGACCTGTCCATTCTTGCAACAGTGTAACTGTTGCATGGCCCTACCAACTCCATAAAAATCTTATACGTAGTAATAATAATTAATTTTCTCTATATTCAGTTGTGGTGATATTTTTTGTTGGCGAAATATCTCGTGCTTGATACGCAAGCCATTCTATTTGTACGCTTGTGTAGTAGTAGATAAAATTACGTAGGGAATAAGACCAACACTAATGGAGGGAGTCGATGAAATCTGGCTTTTGCGAGCCTGGATTCCAAGCTAGATGTGTAACAGTGGATATTAAAACATTCGTACATAAACTATAGCCCGTCTTTTTCTTTCAAAATAACGAATAATCCAGATAACGATAATCTATGTATTAATCCCTCGAATGCTATCTCTATTTCAAATTTCATTTTAATCCGTTAAGCCGCTACGTAGTAAGGAAAGGAAAAACACATCCGCAGACAAACTAACGCATGATTTACTTACGAAAGCGATTAGAAAACGGAGCAATATTTTTATAAACTATTATTCCTTAAAAGCTATGGTATTTCTTTTATGAACAAACAAATAAATTAACATTATTGTCAGATACCTAATAAATAAATATACTAACTAAATTTCGACTGTGGTTCGCAACAATCTTCACTGTTGCACAAATGGGCAGGTCTGTCCAGGTACCACGAACTGACAGAAGGATGGCGTAAAGTGGAGGTGTTAGACTTTTGCATTTCGTCTGGTAAGTGAGGTAATCGGTTCCCACATTATTGAAACCCATCTGCGGTGTCTGCTGGTGTTGTTAATTTTATTCCCACCAATAAAAGATAAACTTCGAGGTATTTGCTTTAAGAGACCTCACCACACCTTCAATGCGGTGAGTGCGCTAGAAAATACCATAGAAAAGACCTCGTAGGATAAGGAAGAGTGGACCCAGTGCTTGTCTCGGTGGTTCCATTGAATATGACGATGTACAGAGAAGCGGGTACTACGTCGAACAACAACTACAAATATTAGCAACTGGAGCCGTTTTATGATTTACTATGAACTTTCAACATGACCCACGTAATACCCGAACTAATCTTAACTACTAACTACCAACCTAACACTTTCGAAAATTCATGTTTACAATACAAAATACAATCATGAATAATAAGTAACGCGAAGATATTTATTTGGGCATTTAGGCAAAGTTTATACTGTGTTAGTGCCAGAGGTCTGGGGAAGACCAGTGTTAAGTGGGGTACAATACCACCCTAAAGAGGATTGATGTGGTTGTCAACGTGAATCTAAAAAAGAAAACGTTCCTTTTGATACTTATGGCTGTTAGCCTAGTCGCCAGTACACTGACACGGGACCCGAAAAAACTTTAATTGAAAATAACCCCCTAATCGATTCGAAACGGTATTTTTTGAAGCCTTTACCGTGGTAGGGCCACACAACAGTCTTCGCTGTTACACGTAAGGGCAGGTTCGTACGGGGAAGTACCACGACCTCAAAGACGAGCAATCAGAAGCGATTCCCCTGTTGGGTGAGGTAACCATGGCCCGATTTATTAAGAGGTGGCAATGCATCTGCAACACTAGGGGTTTTGCAGGTGTCCATTGGCGGCGGTTATCACTTACCATCAGGTGAACAGCTTGATTGCCACGTTCTCACATAAAAAAGCCGGAAGTTTTTATAATTATGCAGTGTGTACACAAGATGCAGCCGCGTCCCAGAACGTTAATGGCTATCGGGGTCTGTTCCGTGCCGCTTCGATGGCCTGTAGGCGACTCTCTTCATAAAACAAGCACGCATAACGAGGAGAGCCGTTCCAAAATGTGGTTTCTGGCTAGCCCAGGAGTTTTGCGAAAGATGAATCTTTGGTGGTCTATTGACCGAAGGCAACTACGTCACTTTTGGCGTTTTGTATATATGTATAAAATGTATTTATTTACTTCAAATGAAAATACATAATTTAAAACACAATCAAGTTACTTTAATATTCATAAAGAACTCAATAATGGTACCTTTACGAACCTATATGTAATTTTTTATGTAATATTTTTGACGATCCATAAGAACGCGAAAGCGTCTATTTGAATAAAGATATTTTTGATTGATTAATTGATAAAATGCTTGTACCAGCGTAGCGGAAGGATGAAGCTGACGGAATGTATTTAACATTACTTTTATGTAACAAATTTTTTTTTGGTATAATAAATATTGACCTTGTTACACTAAATAATAACATTTCCGTTATTTTTTAAGAGAATTGAATACAGAAGACAATACGCAAAAGTTTTTCACACCGAAAACATGATATTATGTGATAACTGGTGATAGATTGATAAACACTTCAGAGCTGCACTATAAAAACAATGCATAGGGTAGATCTTATTGATTGTAATTACTAAACGCCGAACCGCTAAAACAATGGCTTTGTTGTCGTTTCTATTTTTTTATTGTAAACATAATAAACCTAACAGCCTATGTATCCCGCTGATGGGCAAAGGCCTCCTCTATATTATTTTGGTATCAGGGCATCACCACGCGACCCCACTGCGGATTGGCGAATTTCACCTATCTTCGAATTACTTTTTTTGTTAACATTTCAAAAATATGTAGCTGTCCACACAATGTTACCTTGATCGCTGAGAACATTATAAGTCAGCATTTTAAATTAACACTTTCATTGATGTCGGGAATCAAACTCAGGTTGCTTGAGTATATTGAATTAAAAGAGAGCGAAAGAAATTGAGCTCCCACGGCGTGAAGTATATGAATTATACACCTGCGTTTTGCCTGATGAGTGAGGTAGCTCGGGCCCACTTTACGAAGAGGCGGCAACGCATCTGCTACCCTACAGATGTTTCAAATTTTCTCGGGCGGCGATTATCCCTTAATATCAGGCTCGATTTGGCGAAAATTTAATTTTTTTTTTTTTTTTTTTTTTTTATTTCGAACTGGCCAGCACTTGACTGCCATCCCACCTGATGGTAAGTGGCGATGCAGCCTTTGATGGTAAGCGCGCTAGCTCAGTAAAAACCTATTCACTCTTGCCTTTTGCAAGGTAGTGACAAGATTGCTGGATACTCTTATAAATTAACCTAGCTTTTATATCATTGTTAATGAGTTGCAGGCCGACCTATTAAAAATCGTATCAGTTTATGCGATTTTCTTCATCTCTACGAATTACGTAGCATGCTACTTGACACGGACCTAGATTTACCATACAGTGTAACTTTATTTTTCAATCTAACTTAGTGTTTTATTTACCTAGCCATACATTAAAATAAATCATATAAGAAAGAACTGAGGACATATTACTTAGGACCACTAGTTTTGTAATACTGTTTATTAAAATTATTATAAGTAAATAAAAAAACCTCTCGTACACACTTTTACACAATGTTCCCTAGTCCCAAACTAAGCAATGCTTGCACTACGGGTACAAGATAACTGATAAACATACTTTTCTTTTGTAAACGAATATATATTATACATATTTAAACACCCAGACTGCAAATATATATATAAAAGGAGATATCATGTGTTACCGTCGCGGTGTACGAAACTATTTCAAATTATCGAAATAACACTTTAGCATGATTTTCACTAAATCACACTATTATTTGAAACGAGAAATTAATTAATTAGTGGGACAAGGAATAAATTATAACTCCTAAAAGTGCATAACTCCAACAAGTACATTCACACTGAATTCACGCCAACTTATATAAGTTGATGGAGGTGTTAGAGACGTCGGTTACATGATCGGCGCAATTTCATACGAGTCATTAATATGTACTCACTAGCTGCTGCCCGCGACTTCGTCTGCGTAGAATAGGCTGAAGGCGTAACATTCAGACATAAAGACAGATATATATAAAATATGTATGTAAATTATAGCCTATGTATTATTCTGATGTGTAAGCTGTATTATTGTAAAGTTTCATTAAAATCCATTCAGTAGTATTTGAGTGAAGGAGTAACAAACATCCATCCATACATACAAACTTTCGCCTTTATAATATTACTGAGGAAGTAAGGATGACTCCTAAAGCATCCGTACTCAGACCTAAATACGTCATGCAAATGCAAATTATCTTATTATTACACTTCATAATTAATCTTATATTTATTTATTTAGTTCCGACCAACGCATAATATAGTGTTAAATTGTTTTTAACCTTCGAAACACCCTGGCTCTGCAGTGTTCAGCCAAGTTTTTCTTTCTAAGCCGCCGCATACAACTGACATTTGTTACAAATACCTAGATAACAACACATTCCTTTGTTTATTTTTATCGCTAGTACTTGAGGAACTTCATTCAAATAATTAAATGCCACCCACTTTATAACGTTCTTACGAACATCGATTGATGCTCTAAAGATAATTTATTAACAACGAAGCTTAATAGATAAACATTATAAATTTATTTTAGAAATTGACTTCAACACTTTGATATCCACCGATATGAACAGCGAAAGTCTGATCTGTGAATCCCTACTTGGGACCTATCATAGCTTTACATCAAAGATGTTTGTATCTTTTTGCTGTACTATCGACACGTCAATGTAAAGAAATAATATAAATATAATTTGCTCTTAAAGTTTAAGTTTAAGAGCAAAAAAATGTTGTTCAAGAAAACAGTATACTTAAATTATTTATATTGTAATGAGTAAAAATTAATTTAATTATGCGTTAAAAAAATTGTTTGAAAAATTTTACGCAGAGGTCCGGATTTTGTTTCACGAACTGTCCACTATAACATCCGAAAAAATGTAAGTACGTATTGACACCGGGTGTTATATTTTTTATGCATTTAATATCAATAGCTTAGTAGCCATACACAGTGTTAAATTGTCTGAATAATTGAAATAAGGACTTGTTCTTTTTTCTTACAACAAAAGGATAGTGAGATATGAGTTATTATTACGTATTTTCTATTTTTTTTTTTTAAATGAGAATTTTAATTAAAATGATGTAGATAATGTGCTAAAAGCTAAAAAGTAATTCGGTGGGTCCTAGATACTATCATCTAATATATAAAATTCTCGTGTCACGGGGTTCGAACTTGAACTCCTCCGAAACGGCTCGACCGATTTTTACCAAATTTTATATGCGTATTCAGTAGGTCTGAGAATCGGCTACTATCTATTTTTCGTCCCCGTAAATGTTAAGGGGGTAGTCCACCCCTAAATTTTTTTTTTTTATATAAAACTTTTTGTTTCTATTTTTTTATGACACAGCATACAAAAATACATACAACCCTAAATTTTCACCCCTCTACGCAGACGTAGTCGCGGGCGGCAGCTAGTATATCTATATATATCATCACACCACTCCCCTCATCAATTTAGGGTTTTTGTTTTATTATATTGTTTTGTTTTTGATCAGACCAAACAATATAATCGTTGTGCCTGCGTAATCTGGATAAATATGTAAATGGCGTTTAGATTTAGCGGTTGACTCTATAGAAATTTCACACGATCAATAAAAATATGATACCGAATGTATTAAATTGTATTGTCATAAGAACTAAATGTGGCTATCAAACATTCACATCAATCCGTAAACAGGAAGGGGGTCAAATTTCAATTACTAGATTTTTATCAGAAGAGGTCAAGCTAAATAAAACCGTTTAAAAAGAAGTTCGTCTTACGTGCGAGTGCGAGAGAATAGCATAAATGATTTTTCTCTCATTTTAATTAATTTATTATTATTGTTAAAATATGTAGAAAAAGTGCGAAAAGATTGTCGCCGCTGTGGGAATCGAACCCACGTCTTCGGCATTTTTTCTACATATTTTAATGTTCAATCTTAAGTGCAAAGATTAGCACTATAAACAATTTAAAGTTTTATTATTATTGTGCAAACGACGATAAATCCGTTAAAACGTCATTATCGGGCCGTCCCCGGTCATTACAGCTTCAAGAGTTGGAACGCTTTCTAGTCCTATAATAATTATGGATGTGCTTCCAAATATACATAATTACATCTATAATGGGTATAATCTCATATAAGTGGTCTCGAGAATATTTCTATTGACAACGTAGTCGAGTAAGAGTCTGATAATGGTCATAATAAATAATGTGTAAATAATACGTAATAAAATAATTATGTAATTACATTTCCTGCGACATGTCCTTAATTTATTTGATTTTATTTATATTTATGTTATGATGTTGGATAAGTCAATAGTTTAACATCTTATCCCATATACATATATAGGTATATGAAATAAGGTGTTAAACTTTCACATGGTTTCTGATTTTATATAATTATCACCCATTCAAAATACCTGTGAGATGACAATTGCGGAGTTATCCAAATTATTATAAGACGTAGTCCAGTAGAATAAATACTTCTACTCTACCTACTTTGAGGTCGTAAAAAAATCTCAGTCCATCTACAGAACACAGAAGGATCTCTCTCTACTTTAACACGAGAATGAAATTAAGACAATCAAATACGGTTCAATTATTTATAACTCCTAACAGCCTATAGGCTGTCCTGGCGGGAGATGTCCTAGCTTAGGACTAAGCCATCAGAGTTTAATATCATGACAAGTTTTAAGTTTATGCGTCCCAACACTTAAACATCTATACCTTACCTCATACATTTAACCAGTTGTAGCTTGTACAGGTTATAGCTTGATTGATTTAAAATATTAAACAAAAACTTTCTGATCCTATCGATCTGCTGATAAGAAATAGGGAGCGAGTGGTGTGCGATATAAAAGATTTTCCACCACAATAACAACTCATCCGTGACTCCGAGACGTCGTTGATAAACTAGGCTTTGGCATCGGGAGCCGTGGGTTCGATTCCCACACGGGAAAAGTATTTTGGCGGCACACAGATAATTTGTTCGGACCTGGGTGTTCGTTTCCCAAAGAGGGTTGACGTCAGGCAGGCGGCCAGTCGTAAAAAGCCAAAATCGCTTAAAACATGATTCACATGTTGTACCGACCCCGCCCAGGTGAAATAATGGCAGGATGATGGTGATGACGTAGCATTGTCTAATAGGGGGCGCGGCAGGAAATATATTTCGAAGAAATGTGAAGTCCGCTAATCCGCAGTGGGGCCGCGTGGTGGACTATGCCCTGATACACCCTGTACAGAGGGGCCTTTGCACAGCAAAGGGACATATATAGGCTGTTACTTTACTTTTATAAATATTTAAGTGCTACGCGAGGCACTTTAACTGAGATGTACTCAGTTAAAGTGCCTCGCGTTGCTGTTTTCGAAATGAAATACTTTTCACAGTATTAAAATACAATGTGAATTTAATACTTTTAATAATTTTAATACTCTGGTTCCTGTCTGTCTGTCTGTCCGTCAAAAGGATGTAAGAATGTCTCATGATAGACAGTTGAAGTTTTCACAGATGATGTATTTCTGTTGCTATAACAAGAAATACTAAAAAACAGAATAAAACATTTTTTAAGTGGGATTCCCATGAAACAGAGATGTTTTTTTTTGTCGTTTTTATAGATTATTAAAAAATATTTCAGTGGGGATAACAGGGATGATTTTTTTGCCGTTTTTATAGATTATTAAAAAATATTTAAGTGGGGATAACAGAGATGATTTTTTGCTGTTTTTATAGATTATTAAAAAATATTTAAGCGAGGATAACAGAGATGATTTTTTGCCGTTTTTATAGACAATGGTACGGAACCCCTCGTGCGTGTGCCGTCAAGCATCTATTACAGGTGTGCTTACTTTTTCAGGGAAGCTTATTTTCCTGGGCGTCCTCGTACTAGCCCAGGGCAAGCCGTACACGGCGGTGGAGGGCCAGGGGAGGGTGCGCACCGAACTCTGCCCGGATTCCCTGGAGCACTTCCTGTTGCCCCACGAGTACGACTGCACGAAGTTCTACTACTGCGAGTACGGGCACAAATGGGAGACGCCGCGAGACTGTTCACCAGGCACTGAGTTCTCGTTCGAACTGCAGGTGACTATTAATTGGAAGCTAGGAATTACAGGATACGAACTTGTCACACACCTCAACGCCTTCTCACTCGTCATTGTACCCTCTGTAAAATGGTTGAAGAAATCGCTTCTCACCAGACACTGAGTTCTCGTCCGAGTTGCAAGTGACTATTAACTGGAAGCTCCGGTCCGTCCGGGTAAGTACCACGACCTCACAGTAGACCGACGTAAAGAAGAATTGTTACGAGTACACTTCTGCGTTTCATCTGGTGAGTGAGGTAGTCGGGGCCCATCTTATTTAAAGCCGGCAACGCATTAACAAACCTACGGCTGTTGCGAAAGTCCATGGGCGGCGGTTATCACTTAACATCAGGTGAGAAGCCAGCTCCTTTGCCACTTTATAACATTAAAATAAAGTAATTTTTTGTTACTTTTGTAATTTTGTCTGGTGTACAATAAAGCATATTGCATTCATTCATACCATAAATCTTGTATCCAAGGGTATAGTCATGTGGAATAGCGGGAAAACGTTAGCCTGCACAATTCATGATCAACAAAATTCTTCCTTTGACAAAATAGCAGGAATAAATCACAACGTTTATTTTATTTTGTATGATATGCAATTGCTGGCGGTATTAATGATAGGGTTATTTCGTGTAATTTATGTGACGACTAATTTTCTCGTATACTTAACATTCTGATTTCATTAGTTTTTAATTTATTATGATAGTAACAAATAAGTAATCATTATCGTTATTATAATACGAAATGTCTTCTTACAATGAAACTTTCATTCTTACTTTTTTTAATTATTTTCTTTTAACGTCTTCTTTCTTTTTGTTGGTATCTTCTTTCTATAAATTTTTATGAATTTTTGTAGGTATGCGTACATCCAGCGCTGGCAAACTGTTCACTTCCTGGAAGCTCTACGCAAGCCCCGGAATGTGATGACGTTGTAACGGGACCAGCTTCGTTATCCACTACAACAACGGAGGCACCAACAACGCCTATAACGACAACGGCTGCTCCAACAACAACAACAACTACGACGCCGGAACCAACAACGACCACAACAACTCCAGAACCAACAACAACTACGACTACAACAACTACCACGACTCCGGCGCCTACAACGAGTACCACAACTCCGGAGCCTACAACAACTACGACTACAACAACTACCACGACTCCGGCGCCTACAACGAGTACCACAACTCCGGAGCCTACAACAACTACGACTACAACAACTACAACGACTCCGGTACCAACAACGACCACGACGACTCCAGAGCCAACAACGACCACAACAACTCCAGAACCGACAACAACTACGACAACAACAACTACAACAACAACTCCAGAGCCAACAACGACCACAACAACTCCCGAGCCAACAACAACTACGATTTCAACAACCACAACAACTCCGGCGCCAACAACGACTACTTCTTTGGCACCGACAACAACAACAATAACCTTACCCTCCTCCACACCGTGTGCACCTAACGAAGGCGGTCTGTTGGAGAACGGATGCCCGGCCGACTTCGATGTGCACAAACTGCTCCCGCACGAAACTGAATGCAACAAATTCTATTATTGCGTGCACGGTGAGAAGGTAGAGAGGCAATGCGCGCCAGGCACCTATTTCAACCCCGATTTGCAGGTACATTAACTCTTATTTATTTATCAGTTATTATCAATACACTTTTGATGGTTTCTTGTAGCTACAACTTGTAATAGATAATAGATATATTTCAAGTTCTCGCGGATAAAGACTATTCTCGTTGAGAGTACTTATTTCGGATACAAGTAATATCCGAAAGCCTACCAAAGCCCACAAAGGCCCGCTTTTCGCTTTACGCAGGGAAAAACTAGAAATAGTTATGTTTGCGCAAAACAGACCATCAATGCACTTAATTAGTTAGTTATTTGTAGATTTCATCTAAATTATATTAAAATTACTTTGAAAATTACTTATTTAGATATAAAAAAGTTAAACATTGGTCAGATTTTGGGCGACTTTATTCAAATCAAATGCAGCATTCTTAAATTTAAACACCTTACTTATTAAAATGTGTACAACGAAACGGCGAAAAGTTTTTCGCCGCTGTGGAATTGAACCCACGTTTTAGAGATTCACGCCCTGACGCTTTAGCCACTAAGTAATACGGCTGATTGTTACATCGAGGAAAATCTTAACGTTTTTTATCTACATTATTTTTTTAGCATTGGAAGCAATGCTTGGCGCATCCATTTTTATATCCTATCCAGCATACGAATAATTTGCAATATCGTTTTACAAGGATAATTCGAACGAGCGATGTTACCATATTTTTAAGAAATTTAATTTTAATTTGATTGATTTGATAATTGAAATTTAGATTTTTATAGTGCTAATCTTTGCACTTAGATTAAACATTAAAATTTGTAGAAAATAGTACGATAAGTTTTTCGCCGCTGCTGGGAATAGAACCCACGTCTTCGGGATTCGCGGGTTATATATATATATATATTTGTAAAGTGTTTTATACAGTTTACTGGAAATTCAAAAAACGTGTATGCCAAAGAGATTGGCTTTCGAGAGATTTATAAATACATTTTTCTTACACCAACAGAAATTCATAGTTAATAAATGAAGATAAATTGCATGATGTCGTAAATTAATCATAAAAACCTTCAACGTAAAAATTTCTTCTATTCCTTATCTTTTTCGAACGAAATTGAATGTCACGCGAATTACATTATTTAAGGTGAAAATGTCTAGAACTACTCAAACCATACAAAGTACGAAATAATTTAAGTTAGAAGACAGAGACGCATTTAGCGTTTAAATACGAAATGTATAACAAACAAGTAAATATCTGCCTATGGACATTCGTAAAACTAGTACACTCGTAACTTTTTTATCTACCTTTCCAAATTGATCCTGGGGTTATCTCATTCACGGACAAAACGGAACTGTGATAAAATTAATGTTTCCATTTTTAACTATAAAATTAAATGTTTTCTTATTCATCCTGTATTTAACCATTCACCCGGATGTGATGAAACTGTGTTTAGAGTTTAGAGAATCCATTCAATTACTGTAAAAGTTTGAGTTGGTAAAACAAAAAGGAATTTAAAGAGGCGTCGAAAGGTACGCCGCGGATTAGCTTGTTGGTGATTAAATGATCACGCATAAATCTTATCTTCATAATCCTAAATTTATTTTAGCCCATCAAATAATAAAAGCGATGAAAAAATCACCAATCAGATCGATAGAAATTTTATGCGTCATTCTGATTCGTAGACTAGGAAAATTTCTTATAGGTTGTACGTTCTAATGTCAAACATTTAGTAAACATCAATTTATTAAGGGAAGTATTTACAGTCGCAAATCTAGGGATTAACTACCGATGGAATGGATTAAGATTAACGCTGAAAATCGGAAAATTATTAACTCAAAACGTTGACTGATTACGCTCGGATTGATAACATAGTGGCTACCGTTAATATTAATCGATTTATTGTTCCCTATCAATTTCAATGTTAACAGAACGAAACATCACATAAACTTGGATAATGTTTTATCTACATTCCACGCTCTTTAACAAATTTTTAGTTTGCCTCTAGGTTTATTATGAGTTCAACAAAGAAAACAACTGATTCAGTACTTATGCGTCCATTTTGTACTTCCGAATACAACGTGATATTTACGCAAGAGAGACTTTTTTAGGCTAGTGAGCGTACCATCTAAAACTACATGTCTCTGGCCTTCAGGTGGATTATAAGCGCTGTGATTGATAAAAAAGTGTAACATTTTTTTCGTAGAACATTTTTATTTTATAGATATATACATAGATTGATATACAAGGAGGCTTTTTTAAGTGTATCCTTTTTTTTTATTAAATTCTACACATAAATAATGTTATATAAAAATTATAAATATTTTAAGTTACTCATAAGTAATTAATTACATTCATTTGAACTTATCTCAAAAAGTGCGTGATTTATAGGCAACTCATTTATTTTACGCGCGATCATTCATAACTAACACGCACACAAGTTCGTTTCAAAAGTATACGACGCATTTATGAATGACTACCGCATTGTCAACAAGTTCTGTTTTCTAAGGAATGAAATGGTTTTTTTTTTTTAAAGTTTGTTTTTGGAACGAAGTTCCTTACGGCAGGCTTGGAGGGGATAGGGATTTTGCCGCGCGACCGAACTGAAAAAATGTGATAGCAAAACCGTAAGAAAAAATCCGTGGGGAAAAAAGTGCGTGGAATAAAACCGTTAAATGAGACTTGCGCAGGCGCGACAGTCGCATAATTTTATGTTGTCAAACAAAAATGAAGAGACATATTTTGTTATTTTAGTTGATAATTTCAATTACGATGTTTTTTTTATTTTAAGTAATTTATTATTTCCTAAAATACTGAATTTCCTAAATACTTTCTTGTACTTAAATAAAAACTAATCAGCGAAATTTAAGAGAAAAATCAAGAAAACCTACATAAAATTGAGCACGATTTTTTTTTTGCAATTTGTGTCGATTCTACATTAGCCGAAGGAACTTCGTTCCTACCTGATGTCCCACGACACCACATCATTTTTATTTCAATAAACAAGTATACTTCCGAGTCTGAACCTCCTGTGTGAATTTGGGCACCTTTAAAAAAACATCCTGTAATAAGTTATCTATTTATTTATTTATTTGTCTCCATCGATATTTATTTTGACGTTATTGATCTTATTTCAGTTTTATACTTCTTATTTTGCGCAGTTTGTAATATCCTACACTATTCATTAAAATATTCAGTTGGAGGATTAGGTTAGGTTTTGGGATATAGGAGTTGGATTACAAATACCAGTACATCTCTATAGTTTAATATATTAACGTGTTCTGAATGTTTTCAGGTATGCGATTGGCCCTATAATGTGGATTGTGCTGGAGGTGGCGAGGGGGGAGGTGATAGCGACGGGGGGCTGTTACCGAACGGTTGCCCAGCCGACTTCGACATCCACAAGCTTCTTCCTCACGAAAACAACTGCAGCAAATTCTATTATTGTGTCCACGGCGAGATATTGGAACGCGATTGTCCTGCGGGTACACACTTCAATCCGACTATCCAGGTAAATTAATAAATAAATAAATATTTCATTAGACTTGTTCACACAACGTTATCTAGGAACTTTTCTAAATAAGCAACGCTTTACGCTTGTATGATGGGTACTAGATGAATGATAGACGTACTTAAACATACTTTTCTTTTGTAAAGAAATGCATGTTATTATAATATCAACACACTGATACTGCAAAACACACAATATGTTTCCAGTTGTAGGGATACAACCTGGTCGCCAATCTACGCCAATCGAGTAGCCAAAACGTCATTATACATTTTAAATAGGTTTAATAGAGGTGGGCTAGCGGATTGAATAGCCAGATCCCACAAGTTGATACGGTGAGATGCGTTAAATAGTTTGAGGGATTGCCACCGAGGGTCGACACGGACCCGGGGTCCCTATGAACATAATACTGTGAAAATCGCTCCTAAATGCGTGTACCCTTCGTGTACGCATTGTTTTGGTATCGCCTCGCTCGTAGGCGAGGACAAACAAATTGGTTAAATCTATATTAGCACAATGTGTGGGTAGTTTTCTGCATGGGACCACTAAGTCAGACATAGTTAGTTCTCTTTCAAACGGATCGATGAGAACATTACACGGATGACGTTGCGACGTAGCATAGATAATTGATTGTGCACAAATCATTCCGCTTAATGCTCTCGTGCGGTGCGGACTTCTTACGGAACAAATCGCTTACGCTTACTACTTCAGTAACTCTATCGTAACACCGGCTGCATTTCATATCTGTTATAGTTTTAATGTAGAGTTGTACTTTTAAAAATTGAAAAAATGTTTATTGTTAATACAGCGTGTCATTACCATCGCGACATTAAATGAACACACATATAGGGGATAACTTTTTAAAGTTGTATTAAACATTTAAATTCAATAAACATCAATATTTACAGAGTTATTAAATTTTCCAAAACAAAGAATTTTAGAACACCCTTACCTATAAAAGCGTAACGTAAAGTTCATTTGTAAAGGTCACAAAGCATATAAATGGGTTGAATGAATTTAAAAGAGGCAAAACATACTGTTAGAAGGAGAGGCTTGCAATACGACGCTGTGGAGCGAGTTGTATAGGATGTTACAAATTTTGTTTCTGTTTTACTGAATTATTTTGTTATGGATTAAATTATGGATTTTGTTTAACGTTAATATTTTTTTATGATTATTGGCAAGTAGCGTTAGACGTGTCTTCATTTATTGTCGCGATGGTAACGACACGCTGTATATAAAAAAATATTTGAATCGGCTGCAATATTAATGAATGTTATACAAAAAACTCCCTTCAAATTATAAGCATTTTTACTTTAATTTAAACCTGTTATATTGCTACCGTTTATTTTCCTACTTTTTAATCAATTCATGTATAAATAAATAGTTCCAAATGCTTTTCTTCATATTAGGGAAACATTAAAACAAATTATTACATTATTTACATTTAATTTCAAGGTGTGTGACTGGCCGGAAAATGCTGGATGTGCCGTCGAAGAAGATGGTGGAGGAGAATGTGGTGGTGGATGCGGAGGTGTTGGAGATGGAGGATGTGGAGGAGGTGGCGATGGAGGTGGTGCAGGAGGCGGTGATGGAGGCGGTGATGGAGGCAGTGATGGGGGCGGCGATGGAGGCTGTGGGGGAGGTGGTGGAGGTGGAGACGGAGGCGGCGATGGAGGTGGCGATGGAGGCGGCGATGGAGGCGGCGATGGAGGCGGCGAAGGAGGCTGCGGGGGTGGTGGTGGAGATGGCGATGGAGGCGGCGATGGAGGCTGCGAGGGAGGCGGCGATGGAGGCTGCGGTGGAGGTGGTGGAGATGGCGAGGGAGGCGGCGATGGAGGTGGCGATGGATGCGGTGGTGGAGGTGGTGAAGCAGGCGGGGACGGGGACTGTGGAGGAAACGGAGATGGAGATTTGTTAGAAAACGGCTGTCCAGCCGATTTTAATATCCACCAGCTGCTTCCTCATGAAAACAACTGCAGTAAATTCTATTTTTGTGTTGACGGAGACAAAGTGGAACGCGACTGTCCTCCGGGAACGCACTTCAATCCGACCATTCAGGTAAATTTTGTTGTATAACTAAAGGAAATTCACAATAACATTAAAAATAATAATAATTGATTAATCGGCTGGAATATTGATGAAATTGATTGGGAAATTTTCCTTCAAATACTTATATTAACTTTAATTTAAATCTTTTGTTTTTATACGACCATTTATAAGCTTACTTTTTTAGTCAATTCATTAATAAATAATTAGTTTCAAATGTTTATCTTTATAGAAGGAAAAATAAAAAGTAATTTTGATGTTTTGAATATTTAATCATTTTAAAATTTTGAAGGTGTGTGATTGGCCCGAAAATGCTGGATGCGCTGCTGTTGATGGAGACGGTGGTGAAGAAGGTGGTGGAGACGGAGGCTGTGGAGGAGTTGGTGATGGAGGTTGTGGGGGAGGCGGCGATGGAGGCGGTGATGGAGGCAGTGATGGTGGCTGTGGAGGAGGCGGCGATGGAGGTGTCGATGGAGGTGGTGATGGAGGCGGTAATGGAGGCGGCGATGGAGGCGGTGATGGCGGCTGTGGGGGAGGCGGCGATGGAAGCTGTGGGGGAGGCGCCGAAGAAGATGAAGGCAGTGAAGGAGAAGGAGGAGGCGGCGGCGATGGCCCAGGCAAAAACAAATGTGAAGCAGGTTGCAATGTCCTTCCTTGGCCCCACGAAACCGATTGCGACAAATTCTGGCGCTGCGACGGCTCAGAAGCTGTCTTAGGCGTTTGCTCCAACGGATTGTATTTCAATCCGCTGACGCTTACATGCGATTTCATGTGCAACGTCAATTGCGTAAGACAAAACGTTCAGGCGAGACTAGAACGCGATGGATTAAAACTGTTTCTCCCGTGGTCTAAAGTCGACCCGGAAATAATGCGTCTGTATCGAAATATAACGTCTAGAAAGGAAAACTAAACCATCCAGTTTACGGAATATGACTTATTTACATGACATTTATAATAATTTTTAACCTCAGCGTAGCGTGGTGAGGTCATGTGAATAATAAATACGATCAATGCAATGACTTTATTTTATTTAGGAGTATAAAATAAATAGTGTTAAGAAGATTCCACTCCCTGTACAACAAAAAAGAAAAAGTCAGGACTAAGCACTAACATCAACGGAACCGCGATCCTTTCTAAGTTTCGATACTTTAGGTCTTAACTTATTTTTAAAAATTGGTGTTATTTATTTGTATTGTATTTTATACATGAAACAAGTTCGAGAACGCGAGAATGGGCATAAATAAAATCACATAATGTAACATAGAAAATTTTATTTCACTATAACCATTCATAAGTTATTAAAACTAGAATTGTAAATATATACAAAATTAAAAGTGGCTTACACAGTAAGTGTGTAAATGTTGGTGCAAATAAACTCGCAATTTACATCGTAGTCAAATTATATAACCTTCCAGAAGTTTACAAAAGGAGAAACTTAATTTGTTGGACAAAACTAATAACTTAATATGTCGTAATACAACATCAACGCTTGATATTGAATTATCACCCTGAATTCCAAATTATAAACCATTCTTAATTAATATTTAAGCACTACTTAAACGAGACATATTGAATGGGAATAATTTGACTGAGGGAAAGTCTTCGGAGAGCGGTCAATTTTTGGCGTTGCTTTCGTTTCGCCAAAAGTTGATAAATGTTAATTATAGTCACTATTAACAATTTCAGTACTTCTTATTACTCTTGACTGTCCACAGTAGCGTCAGCTTCGATTACCTGCAACATAAAAAAAGAATCATCAAAACCGCTTTCGCCGCGTTCGCTCAGTGGAAAGTTATGAGGTAATAATAGGAACTAAATACTAGAAATAAGGACAAACTAACTACGCCATTGTTTCGTCTACAAAAAGTAAACAGGTCGTTCATGGGGCAAAGTGTGCGCATGTATAATAAAATCCCACAGTCGATGTTAAGTCTGCCACTTGATGAATTTAAACGAAAAATTAAAAGTAAACTTATGGCTAAAGCCTATTATACTATTGCCGAATATCTTGACGACGCCAATGTGTGGGGTTAATACTGTTGATACTCACGTAGGCTAAAACAAGACTATTGTACCTGTACTATTATATTGTAAACTGATTTTTTAAAAAAGAGCAACTGTAGAGTTTCTTGCCGGTTTCTTCTCAACAGAAACTGCTTTCCGAACCGGTGGTACTTTACGAACGTGTTAATTTCTTTGTAAAATTTTGACGTTTCATAAGAACGCGCAAGCTTCTATGTGAATAAAGATATTTTATTATTATTATTAAATAAACATAGGTATAATAGGTATACATGAGGTAATAAAATACAGTCGAATTGAGAACCTCCTCCTTTTGTGACATGTAAAAAAAATGTTGCCAGTTGTTTTAAGAAGGTTGACCATAAAGCACTCAATCCTACTTAAGTAACATAGCACGTACGGGTAAGCTTGTCAGAAACAGGCGGCCTGACAGAAATCTAGTGTAAATTAGAAGACCTTTATGACCCTAAGTGCAGGGTATTAGTCCACCGCCCCTCTGTGGCAGCATATTCTCAAACACTTTCGCCCGTTACAGTTCTCAATAAAGAATAAGTTGGCGCTTTCATAATTTTGCTCTACTTTTGAACATTTGTTATCATAAGTGTATAATATGTATTATATAAACTCGAGTTCACTGTTCTGCCAAGGTGAGTTTTTGAAACGTTGTTTGATTTTATTATTCAACTTGTTTTTATTTTGTTACGCCAAAGAAGTATAACTTCTTACGTCCGTACATAAGTACACACAAACTTTTTTTATTCTGGTTACTCGAGTAAGCCATGATACTTCATCGTCCCGGCCCTCGCTTTTAATTCCATATACTGGAGCAACCTGATTTCGATCCCCGGTGCCGGCACCAATGAACTTGTTAATTTTAACTGCTGAACTATCACGTGCTCAGCGTTGCAACCTACATATTTTCGAAATAATAAAAAAAATTATTTTGAAGATAATTGAAGTCCGCCAATCCACAGTGAGTCCGCGTGGTGGACTATGTGCTAAAACCCTCCGTAATGAGGATTCCTCAGCCCATCAGTGGGACATTTAAAGGCTGTTACCTATTTTACTCTTTAATCTTACATATTTTTCACGGTGATAATACCCTCTGTACATATATAGCATAAATACAGAGCCTATGCTCTGTTTTTACTTTATATCTATTCTGGATGCTGCCCTTACCCGCTTTATCTTCTTCCCGTACATGGACCAGAAGGTGACCTTGATCTCGGTGGGTTTCCCGGTGCGCGCGTCGAACATCCGACAGCTGTCGAATGGCGGGCAGTATAAGTGCAAAGAGACAGCGCCGTCGACGTATGATGGGTTCTCCATACGGTGCAAGCCCAGAGCATCTGCAAATTGACATCGGCTTACAGAACGCTAATCCTCTCGTCCACGACAACGGGAAGACAGAGACAGAAAATTAACCCCAGTTCGAGGAAAAACTCCGATACTAACTTGACGCACATCATCGATTGCAAAAGAGACGGCGAACTTTTGACGGCCTTTCATACTTTGCAGGGCATAATGACCGGGTGATTGATTCTTATGAATCAATCACCCGGTCATTATGCCCTGCAAGTGTTTGAGACTACACTACTTCATTAGGAGGACTGTGTACGTTTTACAGACACAATACGCATACCTGACAAATGCACATATCCAGAATAGTAATCTGTAGGTAGTAAAGGTATTTGTCTAGAAGTAATCTAGGCGGTAAACACTTGGCAGATAAGCAAACAATTTTAAGATGTGAACATTTAAAAGGAAATCTCATTGATATTCACTTAGATTGAACTCGTACCTATAGACCGCTCACCTAACAATCGTCAGGATGGGTCTGTCTTCGTGATATATATATATATATATGTGTATATTATAAATATATATAAATTATATATACAGCGTGTTGTTACCATCGCGACAATAAATAAACACACGTATATTAACGTTAAAAATTATCCATAATTAAAAAAAAAATTTTTCAAACAATCTAATTAAGTAAAAAAGAAACAAAATTTGTAACATCCTATACTATCCTAAGGCTGTTCTAAAATTCTTTGTTTTGGAAAATTTAATAACTCTGTAAATGTTGATGTTTAAAGAATGTAAATTTTTGATACATTTTTAAAAAGTTATCCTCTATATGTGTGTTCATTTATTGTCGCGTTGGTAACGACACGTTGTATATATATATAAACTAGCGGACCCAACAGACGTCCTGTACACAGGACTTAAATCCGGCAACAACTTATAAATAAAAAAAAATGTAGTGGACCGAATTGTGAATCTAAACCATTCTCGGATCGACCTGAAGACACACAGAAAATTTCGTTAAAATCAGTCCAGCCGTTTAGGAGGACTTCAGTGACATACACACGCACAGATGAACTATACATACGAGTATAATAAAAATTGTAATATTATAAGTATCATGGGCGGCGTTATCACTTAACGCCAGGTGAACCAGCTGCTCGCTTGTCGACTATTAACATAAACATCCTTTTGATGCTTGAAACGAAAAACACACTCTGAATAGCCATTTTTAGTATTAATAATAACTTATTAAATCGGAGGTTCGAAACAACTTTTTGTGTTTTAAAACTGTCGCTGCTGTGGGAATCCAACCCACGTCTTCGGCATTGGCGACCTGGCGCTCTAGCCACTGAGCTAAACGGCTGATAGCCACAGTGACGAAAATCTTAACGCCTTCATTCTACATTGTTATTTAGCAATTGCTTCAAATGTGAAAATGCTTGGCGCATCTATTGTTATATCCTTTCCAGCATACAAACAATTTCGAATATCGTTTTACATAGATAATTCAAACGAGAGATGTCGCCATTGCTTTTTATAAATTTTTAAAGTTTTTTATAGTGCTAATCTCTGCACTTAGATGGAACATTAAAACATGTAGAAAAAGTACAAAAAGACTGTCGTCGCTGTGTGTGAAACTTTTTGTGTTTCAAAACCCACCGAACAACATGCAAAGACAATTTGCTAAGTAATTACCATAAGCATTACGCCATCTGTGGTTGATATTGCATATTATTATATGCAAATTTACTGCACGAATCATTTGCAAGGTTTAAATCAAATACTCAGTTTCGAAAGTGTTTGTAATCGATTTTGGCTCGAGGTCAATATCGGCAACCCTTCCCAACATCAATGTCCTAGCATTCTACAATCACATGTCCTTGTTGAACTTGTAGATTAAAACTCTGTTTACTTTATTTTCTTTGAGATGGTAAAAATGCTAGTGAATAATTTCGATTTCCAATAATAAGGTCATTGATCTCGACCTATTCAATGACGATATATTTGACCTATACAAAACATTTCTTATCTATATTTGGTTCTATTGCCTTTAAATTATCGAGAACACTATCGTGCGCCTTTAGATATAAAAATCATGTTTACCATTGATATAACAGACGTCATTGACCTCCAAAGCAGTTCTTCCTATTTCTTCCATTTTCTGTGCATCGTACTGCTCAATGTCGCCATTGGTTTCGCCGATTTCCAAACTGTCACTTTTCCCGCCAAAATTCCGACAGTGATCATTTTGACAGCGTATGTTTAGTTCGGATAGTTTGTCTTCTACAGCTTTTTCTTTGCAGCCAGTGCAACATGATTTCTTTGTCTTTAATTTTCTCATGACTTCTGGTTCCACGTGGTTTGGCCATTCATATCTGCAATAATTAAATAATTTGTCGATAGTTACATTACATTTATCCTTTCTATTAATTATGTAATTTAGGAGTGCTTCTTGAATTATTAAATGTCGATTGTTTATAAGTCTATTGTTTATGACACCTTTGGTCGTACGTAATTATCTACTATCTACAGAAGTATGTGGCGCTGAAGTTAGATTTTCGATGTAACCAGAGACTACTTGTTCAAAAGTTGACAACGTATATTATGGGTCCATGGTCAGGGGTAAAGTAAAAGTAAAGTAAAATATACTTTGTTGTACAGCATAGAAACATTAAAGTGGCAGGGGTGTACTAAATAAATATTAAGAAAAATACATACATATAATTAATACATAATATTATATACATATAACCAGAAAATAATATATAATGGACGACACATAGAAGACACATTAAGAGGAAAGGTAATGAAATTTTAATTTATTTTTAAAAATGTTAAGAGATTTAGATTGTTTAATATGTAAGGGGAGAGAATTCCAAAGACGTCTAAGCAGTAACAGTAAAAGAATAAGCATAGAAGGAAGAGGAGTGACTAGGAGTACTAAGCAGAAAATTATTTTGAGAATGAAGAGAAAAACAATGTAAATCATTTAGATAAATAAATCGATCCTTTAAATAATGAGGAGTGGTAGGATTGAACAGAATGCAGTAAAGAAGATGAAGAATATGAGAATCGGGAGCCACTTGAGCTGATGGCTGAATTCGAATATGTGGTCATACTTTCGCAACCGAAATATAAACCTTATGCAGTAATTTTGAAGCCGCTCAAATTTATTTAGTTGCTCCTCAGTTAGATCCAGATAACAAGTGTCCGCATATTCAAGGATCGGCAAAAAAAGAGACTGAGCTAGCGTAACTTTAGTAGAAATGGGAAGGACATTAAGCAACCTTCGGAGTGAGCCAACTGCGGCAAACCTCTTCCTGCTTAACTCACTAATTTGCGGCATCCAGGATAATGTTTGGTTAAATATGATGCCCAAATTTTTAACTTTGACACTATATGGGATAACAGTTCCTTCGAATATGTGGGGGGGGGGGGGGGGGGGGGGGGGGGGGGAGCTGTGACAAAGATAAACGAGAAATTAATTTCGTACTTCCAACAATAATGGCTTGGGTCTTCGATGGATTTCAGGGGTAATGACTTATCATCTGAACTAGTTTAGCACCTGCTCGTTTGCCTAGTTTTCACATTTTTTATTCAAAAATGGCCACCACTTGACTGCCATCACACCTGGTGGTAAGTGGCATTGCAGCCGTTGATAGTAAGCGGGCTAGCGCAGTGAAAACCTATTCACTCTTGCCTTGAAGACGTCCACGTTGTAATCGGACGAAAAGACGGACGCCGGCAGGTTGTTCCATTCCTTAGCTGTACGGAAGAAGCCCTAGTACATCCCTGGACGAGCCTGCCCATTCGTGCAACAGCTGATCGCTGCGTGGCCTACAACAGTTTATATCTCTCATTTATAGAACAGGACACCTAGAAATTCTAATTTTTATAGTGCTAATCTCTGCATTTTTCGTGCAGCATTTTTGTTTGTATGCTGAAAAGGATATAACAATGGATGCGCACCAAGCATTATTTCAAATGCTAAAAACAATAATGTAGATAAAGGACGTTGAGAATTTCGTCCGTGTGGCGATCAGTCGTTTAGCTTAGTGGCTAGAGCGTCAGGGCGCGAGCCCTAAAGACGTGGGTTCGATTCCCACAGCGGCGAAAAACTTTAAGTGTGGTAGGGCCACGCTTCAGCCTCGGCTGTTGCACGAATGGACAGGCTCGTCTAGGTAAGTACCACGACCTCACAGGAGACCGGCGTAAAGTGGAAGTACTTTCGCGTTTCGTCTGGTGAGTGAGGTAGCCAATTTTCAAAAGCTGGAGCCCAATTTTCAAAAGCTGGAGCCCAATTTTCAAAAGGTTGTCAACGCATCTGTAACCCTCGGGTGTAGGAGATGTATTTGGGCGGCGGTATTCACTTAACATCAGGTGAACCGCCTGCTCGCTTGTCAACTTTTCACATAAAAAAAAAACTTTTCGTTCCCTTTTTCTAAAAATTTTAAGAGAACACCCACCTGACCTCCTCCAGGCTGCCGCTCAACAGTTTCATGAAACAATGCGAGTCCGCGTGGTCGTGTATCGCTGAGGCGTGCCCAGGGCCCCAGCACAGGATCATTACGTTGAATGCCCCGTTGCCGGCGTCGACCAAGTTCCTCGTATACCTGAGACAGACACCGATAAATATAGAAATATGTCACAAAACACGTCTCCGTGGCGCAGTTTCCAACCTAAATGCTTCAGCACCGGAGGTCTTGGGTTCGATTTCCACAAGCGACTAATATTTGCGTGAGCTACAGATAATTGTGTTGGATCTGGGTGTTTTAAATCCTATGAAGGGGTGACCGGAAACGTTCAGAAACCGGGTGGCAGCCCCACCCGGTTTCTGCTGGTGATTCACCTGATGTTAAGTGATAACCGCCTGCCCATGGACATTTGCAACACCCGTAGGGTTACAGATGCGTTGCCACCACTTTATAATGTGGGCCCCGCCTGCCTCACTCGCCAGACGAAACGCAGAAGTGCAACACTTCGGTGGTCTTCGGTGAGGTCGTGGTAGTAACCTAGACGGACCTGCCCATTCGTGCAACAGCGAAAACTGTTGCGTGGCCCTACCATTCATTTTGGTTGCCAAGGATGGTTAAACTCTCTGAATTAATTAGAATGATCTTGTAAATGAATAAAATTGACAATCCATTTGACACCATACGACCTCATAGAAGACCAGTCAGAAGTGTTACATCTGGTGAGTGAGGTAACCGTGGCAACTTTATTAAACGGTGGCATCGCATCTGCAACCCTACGGGTGTTGCAGGTCTCCATCGACCTCAAAGAAAACCGGTGTGAATTGGAAGAGTTAAACTTCTGCATTTCGTCTGATCAAGTATACAGCTACCTCGATTGCAGTCTTCTTATATATATAAATAGCTGCTGCCCGCGACTACATCTGCGTAGAATAGGCTGAAGGTGTAACATTAAGCAGAAAGATAGATATACATAAAATATGTATATAAATTATAGCCTATGTCTAATTTTGATGTATAAGCTATATTATTGTAAAGTTCCATTAAAATCCATTCAGTAGTATTTGCGTGAAAGAGTAACAAACAGCCATTCATACATAAAAACTTTCGCCTTTATAATATTAGTAAGGATTGCGCTACACTGAACAGATACGACAGCTAAGTCGTAACTGATATTGACAACTTTCGTATTAGCAAAATGGTTAACATTCACGATGTTTAGACTCTTATATGGGTTTTGTTTATTATGTACGTATTTCTCTTTAAAATCCACCAAACCACAGTGACAGTGGGGCGGGAACAATAGCGCCTACAAAAATTTTCGCATTAGTCTAACATAATGTCGCCAATACCTTAATGCTACTAAAATGTTAGGCGCAAACTGCAAGCTTCTAAATCAACTGAATTAGAAAAGCAACAAAGGTAAGAAATGCCAATACAGAAAAACCGACCAAGTGCGATTCGGACTCGCACACGAAGGGTTCCGTACCGTTATCTATAAAAATGGCAAAAATCATGTCTGCTGTATAGGAGCCCCACTTAACAATTTTTTTATTCTGTTTTTTAGTATTTGTTGTTATAGCGGCAACAGAAATCAACATCTGTGAAAATTTCAACTGTCTAAGTATCACGGCTCATGAGATACAGCCTGGAGACGGACAGACAGGCAGACAGCGGAGTCTTACTAATAAGGTACCGTTTTATATAGGGTTTTTAAGGTTCCGCACTTTCGGTGCGGAACCCTAAAAACTGTCACTTAAGGTATCTACCGTTTGTTTACGTAAGCCACTTTCTCGGTGACTTCGCAAGATGGCAACAGTTATCTGCTTGACGTGTGGCCTCTTTATCAAGCGTTATCTCCCTCAAGCCGAATAATATTTTCCATCAAAACATTGCGATCTTATCTGCAACTGCACAAGCATGCTGCTGTGTACTGCATTCAGATGTTTACATGCAAAAGTCAGTTTCAAGTTCTGTCTTTATTCAAAATAGAATCATTATACTTCCTTGTTTTTTTTAAATATTTGTTTTATATTAAAAAAAATTATATGTATAATGTTTCTATAAATTACTTTCGTAATTTTTGTATCTCAGATATAAATTATTTTTTTATTTTTTGTTTGTATTATATAAGTATATACTACTACCGGCTCGTAAAAGAAAAGCCACTGACAATGTTTTTTACCAATTTTTTGACAGTGAAAACATGTTTGCCACGTTTCGAAGTCCCTTGAAAGAGCGTAGAGTGATTAGTTAATTTCCAGAGTATGCTGTCATAAACAAAGAACAGCATAGATAAAAAATCATTATACAGCAAAGACGATTGATTTACGTAGTAGTGATATAATTGTTACGATTCCAGTCCAATTAACTACGCACTCTCCTGACGACCTCCACAGTCCAGAACAAAAATGCTGGTAGTATCAGTAGTTCGGTTTACGTTGAAATAAAGAAATACTATTACAATCTAATGATGCCAAAAAAAGTAAAGTAACAGCCGGTACATGCCCCACTGCTGGGCAAAAGCCTCCACTGTAGAGAGGGTATAGGCCATAGTCCAGTACGCAAAACCACTGCGGATTGGCAGACTTCATACGGTCATCTATCTTTTCTGCCTATATGTATATATATATTTCTGTGTATTCACTTTTCATATTTTTTATTTAGTACACCCCACCGCTTTCTCCTTTTAATGAATCCTCTGCCCTAAGGTTGCCTGGAAGAAATCGCTGTTATACGAGTAGCGACAAGGCCGCCTGTTGTAACCATGTGTCTTGTAGTTATAAATCCTGTATTTCTCTTGGTGTACTATAAAGTTTATTTTACTTTTCATATCTTCGTGCCTTTGATATATTTTAAATTTCGAAAATATACAGGTTTCCTCGCTATGTTTTCTTTTACCACTGAGCACGTGGTAAGTCACCATAGGATTTGAACTCGGATTGCTCGAGTATCTTATCCTTTAAAAGAGCAATTCTTGTATATATATATATATATAATCGGAATCTCGGAAACGGCTCCAGCGATTTTATTTAGTATGTGTGTAGATTCAATGTATTAATACATTGCCCCTGTGCAAAGCCGGGGCGGGTCGCTGGTAAGTTTCATATAGAAGTGTCGTTCGAGGTCTGTTTTCGGAATATTAAAGCAAGGCGTTTGCCCAACATTCTATGTGTCGAGCACAATTCATGTCTGCCATTCATTTTTCTAATAACATGGCTTAAAAGTACCATTTCTTACTTCGTCTAATGTACACCTCTGTGCGTTAGGAGGATTCACGGTAGAAGTGCCGAGTAACGTGTCTTTTATATAAAAACCGTCCAAGTTCGAGTTGGACTCGCGCACGAAGGGATCCGTACCATTATCTTTAAAAATGGCAAAGAAAAATCATGTCTGTTGTAAGGCAGCCAAAAAATCATGCCCGATAATATTTTTTTATTCTATTTTTTAGTATTTGTTGTTATTTCGGCAACAGAAATACATCATATTATGTGAAAATTTCAACTGTTTAACTATCACGGTTCATGACATACACCAAGGTGACAGACGGATAGACAGACAGACTGGGGAGTTTTAATAATAGTGTCCCGTTTTACCCTTCGGGTACGGAACCCTAAATTCATTTTGTTCATCAAATCATTATATTAAAATAAATAAATATTTGGATTAATATAATAAAAATAGTTGGATTAAAATAAATGGCGTACATGAGGTACTTTCACTTGATCATAAAATAAACAATGGTAAATAAATTTGATGAACATAATGTTTTTCTAGTAACTGGGTATATAATAAATACATATTATACATATTATGTATAATATGTATTTATTTACAAAAGGAAAGTACGTTTTAGTATGTTTATCAGTGATCTAGTACCCGCAGTTTGTATTATTGTGCGTTTCTTTGTTTAGGACTAGAGAAAAAATGTAAAAATGTGTCCTAAATTAATATTATTTATTTAAATAAGTTTCGTTATAACTGCTAGTTACTAAGTGAATGTCTGAATATTAGTTCACCTTAACGCCGCTCTCGATACCGCGGGTAATTAAATTTGTTTTTTAAATTAAATTAAGAAACACCTCAATGCTATCAATCCACCCACTATCGATTACAAAAATTGCATACTTTAATGTGTTAGTAAGTAATTTCTGAGAGTCAAAGTTGTCAAAATTCCCTTTTCAAATTAGGCTTGTTCCAAGCTCTGATGAACCCATAAACTAACAAAATTACAACACAACATAGCAACTCTACGGTCTTGTTTTACATTTTTTCCAATAGTTTTTGTATGCAATGAAATACAGATTAAAACGGAGCCCTGTTAGCTTATTGTCCGGGCGCTCGCTTTCAATTCAATAATCTCGAACAACCTGAGTTCGATCCCCATGTCTGTACCAACGAAACTGTTAATTTTAAGAGCTCAGCGGGGAAAGGAAACATCTTGAGGAAACCTGCATATTTTCGAAATGGTAGACTATGCCCTAATACGCATCTGTACAGTGGAAGCCTTTGTCCAGCAGTGGGATATATATGGGCTATTACTTTACTACTTTTTACTTTACAGATTAAAATAAGAGTTTGAATACTGTATTATAATCGACAAATCGATATTCAAAATGTTTTAAAATTACAAGTGTTTATGTTATTTACATCATAGAACGATATTCAAAAATGTTTCTCGAATGTAGGATATTTTATTGGAGTATCGTAGGCCATAGCAATCAAATAAAAAGTTGGTATTATATAAGGAATATTGGGATTGGGATGGATACTCGTTAATATTTTTAAAGTTTGAGAAAAGTCAACACACTGACGTATTTGACAGTTTATCGACCTTTAAATATGTCACGGTGCTGTGCTGTATTACCATACGATAAAATATAATTGCTAATGTTGTTTTTATTTCAGTATTCTGTATTAATACTGAACTGTTAATTATAAAAGTATGGCGTGAAAAAGTAAATATAGCAAAGTTTTATCTATATTGCTAAGCGTCAACTTGACTCACCGGAACCTGTCGAATTTGGCGTACTTCTTCCAGTCCTTGGGATTCGACTTATATGCCACCATCAACTTCTGGACATCCTGGACGTTGACATGCTCCCTGGAGAACACTTTGTGCAGCTCCCGCAACAGCGTTTCCAGCCCGTCTATCTCGCTGTTGGAGCCAAACAAGGAATATAATGCAAATATAAATATATTGATGACCTACGGAACCGAGACGTGGTCCTTCACTGCTGGCCGTATGAGGAAGCTCAAAGTCGCTCAGCGAGCTATGGAGCGGGCTATGTTCGGTATTTCTCTGCGTGATAGAGTTCGTAACGAAGACATCCGCAGTAGAACCAAGGTAACCGACATAGCTCAGAGAATTAGCAAGCTGAAGTGGCGATGGGCTGGCCATATAGCTCGTAGAACCGATAACCGTTGGGGAAGAAAGGTTCTCGAGTGGCAGCCTCGTACTGGCCATGTGCAAATGTGCGGGAAATCGATGGATGCAGGTGGCTCAGGATCGTACTTCGTGGCAGTTTATGGGGGAGGCCTATGTTCAGCAGTGGACTCAAACCGGCTGAAATGATGATGATAAATATATTTAGGACACATTTCGTACACAACGTTCTCTAGTCCCAAACTAAGCAACGCTTGCACTATGGGTACTAGACAACTGATAAACATACTTAAAAATACTTTTCTTTTGTAAATAAAAACATATTATACATATATAAACAACCACTAACAAAACACAAACTATAAAAACACTGTGTTCATCACACAATATCTTTCCAGTAGTGGGGATCGAACCCACTATAGGGTCGTTATTTGTTTAATATTTAGTGATAATCCCGCAACAGCGTTTCCAGTCCATCTATGTCGCTGTTGGAGTCAAACAAGGAATAAAGGATAGTTATTTGTTTTATCTTTAGTGCTAATCTGAATTCATAACGTCTGAATACATGTGAGTTTAATACATGTTACAAAAAAAAACTGCGCTAAATGGCTGACGTTCTCACGGGGCGAAAGCTCTAATTATTTAAAACAATCGAAGCTGGTATTCAAAAAAGAACTGTTGGAAAATGTAATGGTTTTATTTTTTGAGTAACAAGCTGAAGAAACAAAATATGGAACATCTGTTGAATTAACATACAGGCAGATCACATCTTATATAAATACTAGCGGACTCGACAGACCTGTACACACTGCTTAAGTTCGAAAACTAAGAAATAAAAAAAAATTGCAGTAGACCGAATTGTGAATCTAAACTATTCTCGAATTGACCTGAAGACACACAATTATTTTTATTAAAATCGGTTCAGCCGTTAAGAAGAATTATATATGTATATAAAGTTATATAGAAGAATTATATGTGTTATACTATACGCTCCTAGCGCCTTTTAACATCTCAAAAATATTCAAACATTTTCGTACGGTCCACTCAACATTTTTCATTGTTGCACGAATGGGCAGGCCCGTCCGGGTTAGTACCACGACCGCACAGAAGACCGGCGTGAAGTAGAAGTGTTACACTTCTGCGTTTCATCTGTATTGAGGTAGCCGGGGCCCACTCTGTTGAAAGGTGGCAGCGCGTTTGCAACCCTACGGGTGTTGGAAATGTCCATGGGCGGCGGTTACCACTTAACATCAGGTGAACCGCCAGCTCGTTTGCCAAATTGTCACATTAAAAAAAATGCACGCCGTTTTATCCTTCCACTCCTGACTCCAGTTCACTTACGGCTCCCAACAAACGATCTCAATCTATTTGTTGGTGATCTGTGATCGTTATTTCAATCCATTTGTTTTAAGCTAACTTGAGTCATGACAGGACCATTCAACAGCATACCACTGTTGCATTACATTACTGCATTAATTAAACTTACTGCATCACTCAGGTAGAGAGTTTCAACATTACACATTGCTTCTATTTTTTTTTATTATTCCGAAAATATCTACATCGTATTACGCTGAATAAACCGCAATTACACACACCTACGGAATTGGAATTAGAGCACAATAAATCAAACGCGAACGCTCAAACATACCTTTAAAGTACGATACAATACGATCTCTTAAGGAACATATAAAGTGTTTTAATTTAAATAGGCATGTCATTCACACATTAGAACAAGAATTTTAAACAAAAAATCGGGTTAAATCCCTAAAGCATTATCATAGAATCACTTTTGACGTCGTTTATGTGACTACGACAATCGGAGATGTTATGTTAGAATACCCAACGGATATAATCGGAACTTACAGGTCAATCTTCAGCGGCCGCTCTACAGATAACAGCTCTATGTCTTCGCACTGCGACACGCGGAATTTACAGTTCGCACTCTCCACCTCCATTATGTTACCTAAACATAATGTTATCGGTTAAAACACAAAATCCCAGTTCTATAGACAAGAAAAAAAGTTTGAAGTCAACATCACAGTTATAAATACATACAAGTCATGACATTGTACAGTATGGTCATAATTGTCAAATAATTTTTCTTCGCCAATGTTACGTACGTAAATTTAAGAGAACTGCTACCGATTACCACACTCACCAATTTATTTAACTTTTAAGAACTATGTTAAACCCACGAAGAAGTTTTTGTTGCCCTAAGAATAGAAAAGGATGTTTCTGACATCTACAGTGGGAGGGCCACGCAGCAGCCTCGGCTGTTGCACGAATGGTCAGGCTCGTCCGAGTAAGTACCACGACCATACAGAAGATCAGCGTAAAGTGGAAGTATAACAAATACTTTCGCGTTTCGTCTGGTGAGTGAGGTGGCCGGAGCCCAATTTTCAAACGGTTGTCAATGCATCTGTAACCCTCGGGTGTAGCAGACCGTCCAGTGACGGTAGTCACGCAAGAAAATATCGAAAGATTAGTATTGGCTAATTGCAGAACTTAATTAGGGCAGAAGAGCTACAGACTATTAAAGAAAGAATCAATGCGGTATAATTAGGCATAGTAATTATTGTGCGTTGAGTAGTGAGAATGCTTCGACCACTCGACAAGGTATGTAAGCAAATGGTAAGATTTGATGAAACTTGGCCTCGTCAGCACTTTCCAGAATCCAAACAAGAGTCTGTGCAATGGTTAAAATAGAAGAAAGGCCACCAAAAGCACTCAAAGTGGAAAATTCGTTGTCTAAGACTATGGCTATGATTTTTTGGGATAGCGAGGTAATCCTATTAATTGATTACTTGCCTATTCAGTGACCGCGTTGTATGGAAAATACTATGCTACTCGTAGTTCACTGGGTCTGCCGCGTACAGGAGAAATGTGTGAAACGTGCCCGTATGCTTTTTCTGCAAGACAAAACGCCAGTTCACACCGATTTTGTTGCAAGGGACGCTTTAAAAATACGAATTTAACAGAACCATCCACTCCACCGTCCAGAACTAACTCCCAGTAAGATCAATCAAATTTTACTTGTTAACAACACATCAAAAACAAACACACAAACTCAGGTACTGTATAATATGAGTACTCGTCTTTAGTATCACTCCTTTTATTATACTACTCATAACAACACAACTATCAGCATTTATACTTTCACGCCAGTCTTCTTTGAATGAAAGGCCATTTCCCGGTAGAGGTGTAGCTGCTATATAGTCTGTGGTATGTGTACACATTTTATTTATTTTAATACACACATAAACAATAGATAAATGATACACATGTATAAATACAAAACGATAGCTTCCTTTCAATTCATATTTTAACTTCAAATAAACATAGCAGATTCCCTAGATAAATTTGCCACATTGTTTTAAAATAAATAATCATAATAAGCTTTATTTACTACCTAAGATTTAAAGTTGCAGAAAAAGATAAAAATTATTTTTCAACATGATCATTGTTGGTTTTTTAGAACACATTTAGACTTTCTTAGTTTTTCATATTTATTTTAAACTATTCACTAGCCCCGGCTTCGTTCTCAGTATCTAAATGAAAATACATTTTGTTGATCCGATCACTACCAATTTTCTTAGAGTCACCCGCAGAGCTAGGCTAAGGAGTTTCTGAAATTTTTTAATTAAATTCTCAGCAGATCATTTATCATCGCGTTATTAGCTAATTGACTTAAACATTGCTTATTTTGTGAAATTACGGGTTTGATTAACAACTAATAGTCCCTTACGAAAATAAATTATAATATTCTCGTGGTACTATAGTACCCAATGGCTTGCTCAGTGATAATTGATAGGATTATATTTGATGAGCACAACAGATAATCACAGGATTGGGATATCTTCCGTTAAAAATCGATATCTAACGTTAAGAAATATAATTTTGGGCGAAACTACTTTTTTATTCAAACTCTTACTTAATAATTGCCAAAATTCTAGAAACAATCTAAATAAATTGAGGTAAGGAATTGTATGAGTATGGATTCTATATTTGAACATGTATTAGTTTATTGCATTGGAACAATAAGGTAACTAAATTATTTTATTAATTTCTAATTGATATTGGGATAAATAATAAAGGTACATTGGTGTCTTCAAGACGAAGTCTAGTTTCTGCTACCGATCGCATTATTTTTTTCTTTAAATACTAGACTAAATTAGTATCAAACAAATAACAAAGCTACTATTCTATGAGACAAGGATTTGTACTAAGCCACAAGCTTCCACTTGTATATGATGAAGTCCCCTACATCCGTCTGGTAACTAATGACACTCATCTTCATTTTATCTCCCCTTATCGCGTTCCATTTGAATCAAGAGTAATTTCGATCTTTACGCTGTATCGCTGTATGGAAACAAAATTTTCTTGTTAAAATAAAAATCCTTACTAATGTTATAAAGGCGAAAGTTTGTATGGATGGATGTTTGTTACTCTTTCACGCAAATACTACTAAATGGATTTTAACGAAACTTTATAACTTATAATATAGCTTATACATCAGCTGGTAAATTTTGTATGGTAAATCTTTGTAGATAAATGAATAGAACATTTCGGCCCTGCGAGTTTCGAACTGAGTCTTCTAGATTCGCAGACGTTTTACAGGCTAAGCGGACGACGATCTCATAGCGAAAAATAAATAAATAAATAAATATCATCACCTTCAATTATAGTTTCATCTAAGACTTCAAATAAAATACTAACCCTAAAATTTTAAACCATTTCCTTAAGAGAAATGATTGGAGACGAGAGAATTTGTCAGATATGGCAGGAAATTTGTGATTCAATGGCATCGAGGTCATGGATTCGATCCCCGCTCGGGACAAGTATCTATGTGATCCACAGATAATAGTTCCGGGTCTGTGTGTTTGTTTCCCAAGAAGGGTAGACGTCAGGCATCATCATTAAAAAACATAGCTAAAACCGAGTACAACATGATTCACATGGCTAGACTGAAAACGGCATTAATCGATTGGAAGAGGATGGTTGTAGAAAACAGCGGGCAGCATAATATTGAGGAAGGTAATAAAATGCTTACAATAATTGGTGTTGTCAGAATATTATGATGAGCGGTAAATGTAAAAAATAATGTACTCAAAGATCCAGTTTCCGTTAAAATAAAATTGATATTTAAGTTAGTACACCTACTATTTTAACACCCTGACTCACCAGGCCGTGTGACAAAAATAATACAAAAATTCTTACTTCCGCAATGAAAGGGGATAACGTAACGAAAAGGTCAGATCTGGTACAGCTGTGTGACATTTAAAAATCGAAAAATTTTTTTTCACTGAATAATAAAAATATTTAATAAGATTTTATTTTTGGTAGCTCTTCTACATTTCTTCTTTAGTCTGTTCTATGTATTTAATTTTTTATGAAGTAGTTATTGTTTTTTTAACTTTGTCACAATATTGTAAATGTTGTACACATCAGGTCCAATGTTTTTTATTTTTTCCTTTTTTCTATTTGTGTAAATATATACTGTTTTATACTGTTGGTAAAAAACACTATTGGATTATTACAAATAGTGGCGAAGAGGTGTTTGGACCATAGACCATTAGCAGTGTATAGAAGCTTTCATATGTCATAGGTTAAAAAAATAATGATAAGCGACCGCTCAATCTGGGGACGGCCAGTAATGTTTACAACAAGTTTGGACGTCACGGATCACTGTTTTGTTTATGTTCAACTGAATGTTTTCTAAATATCGTTTCACGCGATGTACTCTCGCCTGTAATGTCATTTATTTCTCATTACGGCCAACTGTAAACGGGGGTTCAGTCAATTTGCATTAATTAACTAATAAAAGCGACTTTATGTGCAATTAATTGTGTGATTCTGTAATATTAATGACGATTTATTATGTTTGCTATAAGATATGCATTATATAAAATAAGCTAAAGCACATAACAACAAAAGAATTCCGTCCATCGCATTTATATTATCTTTACGATTGTTCTCTTTTGTTGAGTTTGTTCAATGAAAATATTTCCGTTTTAACAAAGTAGGGCTACGCAACATTTCGCTGTTGAACTAATGAGCAGGTCCGTCCGCGTAATCACCACGACCTCACAGAAGACCGGCGTGAAATAGAAGTGTTACACTTCTGCGTTTCGTCTGGTAAGTGAGGTAACCGGGGCCCACTTTATTAAAAGGTGGCAACGCATCTGAAACCCCACGGTTGTTGCAAATGTCCATGGACTTAACGTCAAGTGAACCGCCAGCTCGTTTGCGTCCTCACATAAAAAAATAACGACGCAGGTTCGAAATGTTCGCAATAGGGTCACCAGGAGTTACTGTGTACCTTGGAAATATTTACGTTCAAAAAAGACTGTCCATTTACTTCCGAAAGCGATGTTGGAGGGCATTGGACCGTTACTAAAAGTTTTCTTCATCTTTTTCCCGCTAATCAAACGTTTCATATTGGATAGAAAATCTTTTAGAAACATTAAAAAAATGTTCTGTTTAACGCTCTTAGTACATTTGTATCGTTATCCTGCAAACCTCTACAATCCTTGTTACCCTGTAAACCGGTAACTGTAGTAATAGGTGCAGTAAAACTCAACGGTAGAATTCTTAGTCCAATTAAAGGCTCAAACCTTAATAAAACTTTCAATGATAAATTCTCGGTATATTATTTCGCAAAGGTTTTTTTATCGGTGCGCCATAATTTTTGTTTCACAATTCCTCATTTCTGATGATTAAAAAACATCATTTTAAAGCTAACGCTCACCAATGACTTCTAATAATATAGATTACGCATATCCATACTGCGCAGCGTTTAAAAATTGTTCCGCTTTACATTTTATGACATATATGTATAAGTGAATGTGACAGATGATATAGAACGTTCGATACGGAAAGAGATAGCAGTCTATAGAATTACACCAAATGGCGTAATATGAGCGCCTCAGTTTCCGTGCGCTCTGCGAAAAATTCGCACCGGTCAACTAAATCTATTATATTTGTCATTTAAGGTTAAAAAAATAATTATGTGTGTACGCAAGTAACAATTTATACTTCTTTATTGTAAAGACATTAAATGCAATTGATAACGGTTTATTTTATAAACTTGGAATTATTGATAAATGTCAAAAATTGGTTGCCATGGTAATAACGTTTCATAATTCATCATGTCGCTTTTTAAGGGTCGGTTTGCGGGCGCATCGTAAAAATTTTACTCTCAAAACTATTTCTAAACGCGCCAAAAGATGTATTCCTATAACTTAGAAATGAACAAAAGATTGCTTCGTATTAAATATACTTCGAATATTTATCTATTAAAGATAACATACCAAATATTTTACATACAATGACGCCTTACGATAATATTATTTAAATGTATTTATGCAATGTAAGCGAAACGTATTTTTATAAACTTTTTCATTTTAAATAATAAAATACGTCACAAGTAAATAATATATACCTCTATTACATTTTAATTAGTAATTAGACAACATTTTTATTTAAAAAAAAAGTTATACGATACAACGAAAAAATTAAATTTATTATTATGTATAGACAGAAATGAACAAATAGAAATAGTAGAATAATAGACAATTAGAAATATTCATTTTTATTTTCATCAGTTTCGATTGTAAACAAATTCACCCCGATTCTTTTGAGTTCGTATTGATCTTCTATAAATATATAAAGGTCATCCCTAGACATCTTCATAGTAAGAAGTCATCAAATAAAGTAAAATAAAAAGCATAAAGTAAATGTTTACTTTTTTACGAACTGCTATGATTTTTTTCACATCATAAATAAGAATTGTGTTCGTGTTTATTTATCTATAACTTATTCTGAATCACCTGAGTCAATGTCCGCAGTCCGTAGTAAAAAAAACATAGTTCATGAATGCTTGCATTGGCTTGCAGCGACTAATGTACATTTATTTCCAACACGCAATCCTAAATGGATAGATAAGGTTAAAACGTCTAAATTAATGATCAACTTATTACTTAGTGCAACGTAAGCTGTATCCAGTTTATCCTTGAGGTAGGTTCAATTCGTTTTTTTTTTACTTCTCAAGAAACCTGTGTTGAAATTGTGTTGCTTGTCTACATTATTCAGTTCATAAGCGAATCAGACTATTTATTTTTCTTGACATTTTAAATTTTACTTAGAGCATTAGTCAGGTTTAAATAAAATTTCACTCACGTCTTTCTCGATTATTCCCTAAGAAACACACATACACGGGCACAAACTCCAAATAGTTTCCAAACTCTTACACTTCTTATGCCAGACACTATTATCGCAGCCCTTTGATAAAACACAGTTTAAAAAAATAAGAGCAACCGTCTTCATGCGTTCGCGCAACACAAGTGGCAACAGTTTTCGCGCGTATTTGGTTTTATTCGACAGCTTCTCGAAAGTGTTTTTATCTGGTCTTGCCGATGCGATAGGCTTTCCACGAGTTCCAATTAAAATTTCGGACCGTTTCTCTGACGCCGAAATACACAATTCGAGTAATTGAATATTGTAACATTGAATCCACATCTTTGTGTATTTAGTAGCCACCAAGTCATATAAGACTTTAATTTTTATAACCTGTAATTACCATTTAACACACATACAACTGGAATAATTACCGTAAAATTTATGGGAAGACTACAAACTGAACTCCTGTTTGTAATTTCTAATTAATTTTAATTTAACATGATGTCAAAGAGATAGCAATAAAACTTCATTCTTACGCACATTATGTAGGTACTGTTTATTAGACAACTTTATATGAAAAATAGTTAATAAACTTAGTTTTGTAGTAAATGTGAGTAGGTCAATAAATTACATGACACAAGTTGGAACTGCCTAAATTTTAACAAAAAAATTTTGACTTTGAAGTATACTTAAGATTTGTACCGAAAAATGTTCGAATAGTTTTTCACCACCGCGAAAATTAAACCTGCTTTTTCCAGAATCGCTTTAACCAATAAGCTAAACGGCAAAATGTTTCATTTTAGATTCAGAGATTAGTACTATAAAAACATTATAAAAAATTGAGTTTGAAATATAATCTCATTACATAGTAAGGTTGGTGTAAAATGCAAAACTAGCTAGAAAAAAAACCTATTAAGTCAATATTATTATTCAGTTATTTATCTTTTTTTGTAACACCTACAAAAAAGGCGGACTTAATGCCTATTGGCCTTCTTTATCAATCGATATATTAAAGTATAAACAGTAAGTATAGTCTTCAATTTCTTAAAGAAGTAAGGTTCGAAAGGATAAAATCACGAGAAAACTCCTGTAAATTCCAATACAGAATACGGAATTGAAGTTTACTCTGAAACGCATGGTCACCCTAGCGCGAGGCGAGTTCATTTAGCGGATTGCCAGTCTCACGTCGTCGTACGTACTGGAATGCCCTTACCGGGAACCGTCGGATGATTACTGGTTATCGAGGCTGCTCTGTAGAAATATAAAGACTCCACTTCTTATTTATATTCCTAAAGAAGATACAATATGTGAATATATTATGGTTTAACTGCTCTAATAATGTATGACCCCCTTTTTATACTTATTTCATTCGCTACAAACCGTATGAATAAAAATAATTGAGTGGTCATTTAATTATGGGCTTTTTTAACATTTATAATTCCAAGTTATTTAATTAAATTGCATTTATTGTCTTTTTTCAAATGTACTGGCACAAGGGGATGTTTTTTTGTTGCGACGAAGAAGTACACACATAGTTCTTCATTTATAAAATATCCTTACTTCCTTACTAATATTTGCGAATGTTTGTTACTAAATAGATGGATGTTTGTTACTCTTTCACGCAAACAATACTGAATGGATTTTGATGAAACTTTACAAGAATATATATAGCTAATACATCAGAATAAGACATAGGCTATAATTTATACACATATTCTTATGTATATCTGTCTTTCGGTCTGAATGTAACGCCTTCAGTCTATTCTACGCAGACGTAGTCGCGGGCAGCAGGTAGTACATAATATTATTAAGATTAGGTGCAAAAGATGAAACTTTGAATATACTTTAGCCAGGAACACAACACGCAAAACATAAAATGAGCTAAACTAAAAAAAAACATACTCAGGTTTGAACAATAGTTAGAGAGCGAATATTTATTTATTTTATTTTCATCCGATATCATAAAGAAGGAGGCTGTTTTTTTTATGTCTATACCTTAGAAGTCCGTCATTTATAAACTGATTTCAAGATTTTTTTTTCATATGAATTGCCGAGATTAATACATAGCTTTAGTGATTTCACACCATATCTAAAAAATCAAAGAAAAGTTCAAATACAACTTATTTTATTTAATAAACGCACAATTTACAAAAATACTTTAATGATAAATAGGTTTTATAAGAGACAAACTCTATACGTTCTGTATAAGATTACTTTACTTCTCTATAAACTATTATCATAGAGGCGTTAATTTATACAAATTTTCCATAGAATACGAGTAGGACACGTCTCTAACAAATATATGCAGACTGATAGATATTTCGTTCCGGTTAAACTTAAGATTCATATCCGTTAGCTTATAGTTATTAAAATAAGTGTAATTATATGTTTAAATTGTGTAAATCATGTCATTGTCATTAGTACCACATGTTTTTATATATGTTTTTGCTCTGTTAATAATCCTGCTACTGTTTTCTTTTTTAAGATCTATGTAAAAAATATGTTACTGTCAATGATTTTTGAATAATTTTATATAAATATTTTTGAATAGTTCTATATATTTAAATATTATGTTTTTTTTATATTTGCCCATGATATATATTTGCCTCAAAAGAGCCGGCTTGAGCATCCTGCAAATAACTTATATGATTTTGAGCATCCTACAAATAACTAATGTTAATTCGTATATCTTAATAATGGATGGATATCTTCTCGCGTAAAAGTTATAAAATTTAGCCCACTAATTTACAATATTTTTTCTTGCCTCAAGACGTCATTGGAATGATATTTACATAAATTAAAATCTCCAAAAATATCTGATCATCTGACTCAGTTTTGATACACGCGCAAAATATGGACGACTAATGGAGGAATGTTTTAATATATCCTTCGAAAACTGTTATCGTCCTCGTAAGATGGATAGAGAGGTTACATCATTCGGGTAGGAAAACATATTTATGCGAGATATGTGACGCGCATTATCTGATAAGGCGAAAACACTACCTACGTGTGTAATCATTGCAAAAACATCGACCGTGTCTACGTTAGCTTTTCAGCGGATGCGTATGAAAGGCCGTGGAGGGCGTAAATATTTAGAACTGTACTAGACAAATGTTAATTCGAATTTTGTACAATCAGTAAACTGATTGACAATGTTGTTTGCCAGAATATAAAAAAAACACTTATCCATGATTGCAGGATCTTTGTGGTGGTGGATCATCGAGTTCTAAGCACTCACAACTACACTAAAATTATTAAACTAAATTTGAATTTACGTTTTAAATGAACACAGATTGCACTGATTTTCTTATCTTCTTTGATATGATTTATGCGACATTAGTTTAAACTTCTAAGATCCCGAGTAGATAAACGGCGGTCTTCTTTTATGGTCTGTGTTGAGTGACGTAGTACGATGTACTTACGCCCGGTTTCTGAAACACTGATCATCGTAGATGTGAACTAATCAGCTGTCAAATGGCTTTTCAAATGTTATTTAAGTTGCCAAAGGGATGGTTACATTCTTTGAATTGATCATTCTAATCATTAACAAGATGATTCTGATTAATTCAGACAGTTTAACCGTCCTTTTGGCCAACTTAAATAACATTAGAAAAGCCATTTGACAACTGATTAATTAACTTCTACGATGATCAGTGTTTCAAAAACCGGGCATGAGTGTTGTATTAATTGTATCCTAAACTAGGAAAATATAATCATAAGTGCAGTTCTCCGGACGCAATCAACAAATACTTTGTTTTGTGGCTAAATATATAAAAAAAATAATGATGGTCTATGGTATTATATTATGGTCTATATTACTAAAAGTTGATAACATTTTTATAATTGATTCGTTGTGTCCAAACAAGTAAATTTATTAAATTTGTATAAATCATTCAGATAAGATAGTATATGTACATCTTTCTAAATTAAACTATGTTTACGGATTTAGCGTGTTTATTTTCCCAACGTTTCGTATCTTCATTCATACAATCTAGATCATAATATATACCTTTCGTCAGTTTCATGTATTTCTCGTCAAACATAGAGCACATGATGTTCATTCGTTTTAAGCAACCACAGATAAACTTTGCTCCCGTCATATTTAGAGCATTCAGCGACATCCGATTTTAACAGTAATCTATTAAATATTTCTGTAGTTAACTCTAATTATGACGTTATTCCATTCTTAAGGTACTATCGCGTTGGTTGCACCAGATTTTAGCTAGTAGAAATCAGACTGAACCCTGTCTTCCTTAGGTGATAAGAAATCTATCAATGACTTTCCAGTGGTCTCCTTATCCGATCCAATTTTTTACCTTTTGAACGTAAGCCTCAATCAGCCGTGGGTCGACTCTATAAAGTAATAGAAAACGTCTTGATTTACCTTTGTAAAAAGGATATTAGGCCTATATGGACTGAAACAGGCTGAAATGTTAATGATGATGAAGAATAAATATTTTCAGGACCAAAGTCCCAAACTAAACAAAGCTTGTATTAGCTAGCTATCCCAAACTAAGCAAAGCTTTAGCTAATTATTTCGAAAATATGCAGGTTTCCTCACGATGTTTTCTTTCACCGCTGAGCACGTGATAATTCAGCACTTGAAATTAACAATTTCATTGGTCTCGGCACCGGGGATCGAACTCAGGTTGCTCGAGTATATTGAATTAAAGGCGAGCATCCGGACACTGAGCTATCACGGCTCTATGACGCAAAAAGTTAGTTCAAATTAATTAACCTTTTTTCTTTAACAACCCCGTCATACTTAACTCTTAAATATTATAATTAATGAAAGTAAATTGTAATAATTTAAATTTTTCAAAATCTCACTAGCAACATTGCAATGACTTAGATAAATACTAATTAGCGTCATAACATTCTTCAATAAATTAATGATGAAGATAAATTGATTAGATACATAACAATAAATAACATATCACGTGAATGTACTGATGTAAACAAATAATTGAATTACGTCATATTTTTATCATTAATTTTATTCAAATACCCAGCCATATATACACCGTGTGGTTACAATCGCGACAATAAATGAACACACGTCTAACGCTACTTGCCAATAAGCATAAAAAATGTAAAACGTTAAAAAATCCATAATTAACAAACAAACTAATTAAATAAAAAAGAAACAAAATTTGTAACGTCCTGTACAACTACATCTGACTGATTCATACATTCAGACACTTTTTCTTTCGTTGCCGCAGCGTCGCATTACAAATCTCTCCTTCTAACAGTAGACGTATGTTTTATCCCTTTCAAATTCATTCAACCGATTCATATGCTTTGTGACCTTTACAAATGAACTTTACGTTACAGTTTTATACTTAAGGATGTTCTAAAATTGTTTGTTTTGTAAAATTCAATAAGTCGGTAAATATTGATGATTAAAGAATGTAAATGATTAATACAATTTTATTATTACAATATATTATATATTTTATAAGTTATCCTCTAAATGTGTATTGATTTATGGTCGCGTTAGTAGCGACACGCTGTATATACATACATCGTAATGAACGGGATAGCTTGTCATTGAATTTTTGCTTTATTGATTTTATTTTCGTGACAGTTAGTGAAAATGGGGTAAATAAGTAAGACAAAAAATTTGGTATCTATTTGTGTAGCATTTTTTTAACATTTTTTCATATTATCTTCAGCACGCACACTATGCAAAATACTGTGAATACACTTATAAATACACGCATACACTTCACTTGTTATTATATTTATTACCACTTACCTAATTTTAATGATCCTAGACTAACTAATGGAAAAATAAAAAAAGATCGAAAAATACGAAATAAATAAAAAATATTTATATAAATTCTGAAAGTAAGATAATCAGAATTAAGTGTAAAAGTAAATTAAGTTTTTCAGAATTAAGTTAAATAAGAGTAAAACTTAATATGAAATGTTTATTGATTTTAGAATCCAGAAAAAAGTAATAAAAACCTTATAAAACATTACGCGAATATACTTTATAAAGTCTAAAACTTCGTTTTACGTTCTTATCTTGAATGTGGGAATAAATAAATCCCTATTGTTTTCAAATTTAGTAGGTAATTATCTTGATTGTTTTTGCAAGCTTATACAAAAAGATGTGATAACGAAAAGATAACAAGATTAAAAAAAATCAATAATCTAATCAATAAAAATAGAAATCATAACGTTTTTTGTTAGTTTCGTTGGATTGTATGTAATAAAATATTTAAATGTTGGTAATCTCAACAAATACTTTACGGTAGATAGATACTCGTCGAAAGTTGTGATGTGAAGGACGAAATTGCTGCGAGATAGTCTAGAGTGTTGGAAAGAGCATCACTTTTCTTACAATCTTGACCAGCTCCTAACAATCTGAATGAATGAATGAAAACACTTTTACTGTCCACCACAAATGAAAGTATACGTAAGTCACAATAGAAAAACAAATTTATTCAATGCGATCTCTTCCTGGCAACCAATGGGTTAAAGGAAACGTAGGTATACTACGTAGGTGGTGCGATCGGAATATATATAAAGTATGATTAGAGCAGATACATACAATAATACATGCATACATACACATACACACTATGTGCGAAGTAACTATGTATTTTTAAATATCATTCAATCTGTAGTCACGGTCAACTCTTCAAAACGGATGTTCCATTCTGCCGACTTCTTCTATCCGGTTGAAAGCTGTGCATCCAGATTTTTTGCTTGTGAATATAACATAAACAGCTAATACCTGTCCTTAATTAAACTTTTTATAACAGCACCAATCGTTACATATTATATATTCCTGGTCTCCCGTTGAAACAATCATTATGCATCAATAATACATAGCTTGCGAACCTTCAGATGTACTTGCAGCATAAATAAATTTTAAAAAAAATTAATACCTTAACATTACTATTATGTAAATTAAATACATCTTTCTCCCTTTAAATCACTCAGTCAGTGTGCATCAATAGTACATGGCATTCGAACCTTCAGATACACTTGCTTGATAAATAAATTAAATAAAACTAGTACCCTAACATTACTAATTAATTTAACATTTCTAGTTAATTTAAAATTAATAATAACATTAAATGAAATACATCATAATTAGTAATGTCTTTTATTCTCGTTTAAATTGCCATTATTAGTTATTTAGACAGGCGTTTGTATTTCTTCTTGTAACTATGTTCTTTAAAATCAAAAAATAAATAAATAAACTGTCTTTAAAATGGCTAAAGATGCGTATTGGAGAGCGAATGTGCTTTCTTTTTTAAACCAATTTCTACGTCAAAAACAATTTAAAAATTAAATCCTCGTAATTGAAAGTTCATTCCGTTACGCTTTCGACGAACCGTCGAATCTTAAAAAAGCTATCTTCCTTTATCTGTACCGCTGTTATGTGACGTTTCAAAACTGAACGACTCGCATAGCTAGGGCGTAAAAGTGGTATACCATTTTCTAACGAGAACGGCTTCCTTGAAGTATCGAAAGGACTTATCCTAAACGAAATAAACATGCACGTACGCCGTTTTGGAATTAGCAAAAATCTTTGCAAAAGTAGTATACCATTTTTCGCGCTAAATGTTCAAAAGGTCGTAAGACAGCGTGGATCGCGGTGTTTTGGCGCGTTTTTGAAATGAAAACTGAAGCACACGCGTGTTAAGCGATTCAAATCGCGTGGCCACATATAGTTGAGTGGTCGACGAGCAATGTGGTTGGAATTTCTTATTTCAATCTATCAGGGCTGCCACCTTGATCATATTAAGCGATAGATTAACATTAACGTATAACACTGCCGGTAATTAGGTTCATAATGAGTTGTAAATTATTGTAAATACTAATACACTCCCTTTACATATTATATCATTCATCAAAATCGGTACTGCCGCTTGTTAGTACGGAGGAATAAAGGGACTGTATACATACAGATCAAAGATAACTCTCCCTTTTAGGCTTCACCGTAGTCGGCTAATTATTGTAATTGTAAAGTGTTGACCTAATGCATAACTCAAAGAGTATAGCTGACTTAGCAATATTTTTAAAAGCTAAGCGTAACTGTATTGCCAGTATTTGAAAATTAACCAATTCACAACTAAATGAAACGGTCGAAAAGAGCAAGGAACACGGTACCTAGATCGCATTTTTTGATTTTGCAGGAATATCTAGCTATTTTTTTTTTTTTTTTTTTTAGGAAATCGATGTAGTATCATTCAGGTCACACGAGCAACTTCTTGAACGTACCATCTGCTCTTGAGTCACCTTCTTGACAGCCCTGAATTGAACTGTGTGGCCAATTCATTTAAAGGACCATCTAAAAGTAATATAGGTTTCGTCGCCGAAATGAAAATGGGATGGAATTAATAATAGATGGCTAATGGATTGGATATGCGTTTCGGAAGGTTGTCGAAAACATCTTCAAACGCATGAAACTTTTTTTAGATCATGATGAAAACTTCATTGAAAATAACAAGCAATTAACCTTAGAACTCTCTTTTTGTATTTCTCAAAACAGCCCACGGAGCGATGTCATTTGTATAAAAAAACATAGGCAGTGTCAAGGGGACTGAAGACAGAAGTGAAATCATAAAACTCTCGAACTCCGAAAGATTATAACATTATTTATATCATAATATCTATAACTACGAATATATTTTTGCATATTCTTCCATCCTTTTTTAAAAATAACTCATGGAAAGCGTTCGCGAGTTTTATGATTTTTGTTCACCAAAAAGTGCTCAACGCGCCTAAAGAAGGTTTCACTTCAAAAATATTTGTTCATAACTGCATAGCTGTCTACTGCACAGATGGGTATATTCATCTTGCCTCTCAATCAAAAACTGAGTTGTCTATCGGCCAAATCAAAACGGAATTTTTCCAACACTTACAACTAAAACCTAAATGTTTCTTTTCTTTTTTATGTGAGAAAGTGGCAAACAAGCTGGCGGTTCACCTGTTAAGTGAAGTAGGGTTGCACATGCATTGCCACCTTTCAATAAAGTGGACCCCGGCTACCTCACTCACCTGACGAAACGCGGCAGTATATCACTTCTATTTCACGCCG